CCACCTTGGTCTTGTTTTCCACAACTCTGTGCTGATTGACACAGAGGCAGCAGATCCAGATGTAGGTTCTTTTTGGATTGAGGTTGTTCTGTAGGAAGAAGTCTGTTAAAGTATCCACAATTTCTCCAATCGAATAATTCCATGAATAACTGAGCATTTGAGTTGCCTCTCCGACATGGTCCTCACCTTGTAGAGAGTGGACGTAGGCAGCACCCATTTTCCCATCAATTGGGCAGATTGTGCTGGCACTCTTTCTTCGAATAACACCTGGAGGACCTTGGAGATTTTCAATGTCATATATTTTGGAGTCTCGTGAAAGTGTACTGGTTTTGCACACCTCGTTTCTCAGAAAGATGTGTTCCAAATGATGCACACTTACACCCAGGTGCTGTTTGGAGCTGGTATCATTGCATGCGCTCTCATTGACATAACTCATCTGTTTATAGTGCTTTATTGTTCTTTTTGCGACGGATGGCTTGAGGTGGCTAGCTATACAGTCAACGCTCGCTTATATTTATAATCTTGTATTTATTCGCTCTATAATATTTAAGAATACTCCAGTTCCCACATTTTTAACTCTAACCCTATTTTAGTACTAGAGCACGTACAATTCTACGGGAATAGTTAGGGTTAGGGATAAAATCAATATTTATTCTCGCTGTTATATTTACTGAATTCCTGAATCCCCCCCAGTATATATATCTGAATGTTGACTGTAGAAAATCTAACTTGGCATAGATCGAATTCGTTCTCGAGATAGTGCTGGTACGTGTTGAGTCAAAACCACTCTGGAACTCCGAATCCACGTTAAAGCCTACCCAACTGAGCGCCCGTTGCGTTGCTGGTATTCGAAATCGTAGCAGTTGCCGATTTTGCTTTGGTTGACACTTCTGCTGCAACAGCAGTTGCAAGTTTCGATTGATGATATGGAGTACTCTAGCTAGCTAGAGCCTGGCTAGCCATGTATGTTTTCTTGATACGACACCGTCGAGCTGCGGTTTTGATATGGATGTATGCTGGTACTGCACTCGCGGCGAGTGCAGGATCTTTCGTTGCGGGATTAGCCAGCGAGGCTAACGAGACGACGCCCAAGATCCCAAGCAAGAACCTCTTGCCCTCCTCTCCAGTTCCAGCAATGTTTGACAGACTGAAGTAGCTTCGTAGTACATGTACGGTACTTCGATGGCTAATGCTATATCGGCATCTAGACTAATCCTCTTCTCAAGTATCTAGAGTGGATATCCGTTTTGAGGGCGCCCGTGGTTCCTCATTAGTTAGAGCCTAGCTAGAAACGCCCCTACTAGCTAGCTCTCCGTACCACTGTGGTACGGTAGCATTGAGTGACCATGCTACGGTATGGTTGGAGCCCGAATGGATGGGTGCTGCAGATTAGAATCGAATCATACGTGTTGTCGAAAGCACTACGTATAGCTCGCTAGCTAGGTGACTCATCGTCATCGGTTTAGTCGTCTCGGTAGGCAGATCCTTTTGGGTGTAGGTGTACATTCGTAACCAAGCAACCAAGCCCGAATGAGGAGATCTTTTCAGATCAGATCGTCCCAGGCAGGATCTTGATGGAGCTATGCGGTCCTCTGTGCAAATAGCAGCCAATACCAACTTCCGTAGCTAGCTAGCTAGAAGTGGTGGGGATACATAGTTTGTCACCATGGTAAGTCTTATCCGATCAAATATTTCTCTGTTCCAGTGAAGACAAGCTTCCCAAAAGCATCGACCACAACCATCCCAAAAACTCTTTTTGGATGGTTCGTAACACGAACTACATCGAGTCGATCAAGTCAATTTGTGAAGTGTCGTCCGGCTTGGAGGGTCTTGTTTAGAGCATTGGTTCCGAATCGACGCACGATTGACAGCTCCTTGCCGAGTGGACGGAAAAATCTTTAGAGCCAGCGCGCCTTGATGATTTTGAAAAGGAGACAACAAAGAGACAACTAACTGGAACAACAAAGAGCAGCAAGAAACGAGAAAAGCCAACAGCTCACGTCGATTGAGTGGTTGTATAGCACAGCAAGATGTATCGAGTGATGAGTAGTGGCTCTTACGCGTCCTATGAGTCTCATCAAGACCATACTACTACTAGTAGTGGTAGACTTGACGCGAGCAAGTTTGGGTCTTTGTTGGATCAAGCAGAGGAAGAGAGTGAAGTCTTGTACTATTCCAATTCCAGTCCTGGCAATCAAGATCAAGATGACAATCAAGATGAGACTGAAGATGAGAGCGTCCAGAGTCGATCCCAACTCTCTTTGTATTTAGAAGAAACCAAGAGGAGACACCAACAAAAAATGACGGCTGATTCATCCATTTCCACTGGAATTCACTCGGCTTCTACTATTGCCGACAGTGCTAGTAGTTCAGAGGACACTCATAGCAGCAACAGCAACAGCGACAGCGACGATCTCTCCACTTGCGCTCATCCAGGCGTCGAAGCATTCCAACCATCACACCAACACCATCAAAACCCTCATTCACAAGAAACACAAAATTTTTGTGACGAGTCCCGGGACATGCAGACGCGCGAGCAGACCGACCCATTTCCTGCCACTCCTTTGTCCACACCCAATCAACTTGTCCCCGTCTGCACAAACAACACCCAATCTACCGATACAACAGAAAGTTGCACATCCTCCAGCAATACACCACAAGAATACTACTACTATCATCATCGTCATCACCACTATCAAGAGACTCCACCCCATACACGACAACTAGCACCAGATCAAGACTATGAGGATCAGTATGATCACACGGAATACCTGGCTTACCCCACGTTTCAGGAACAGGAAACACCGTTAGACAATCAGAGCTATCAAGAACATGATTGGCCAGATCAGCATCAAGCAGAACTATGTTATCATTCGGATGCAGATGAGGGGTCTTATGCTTATGCTCCAGCTGATGATTGTCACGAAGATTACCAGGAAACTCCCTTTGATGAAGCACCGTCCGTGGCTCCGTCTCACCAAAGTGTGGCTTCACCATGTCATGATAGCGTGGCTTGTTCATCTCACAGTGCAGAGATTGCAGACGAAGAGTCTGCTACCGAAGAACACGACCCTGTTGCCAGGGAACTATTCCCACAACACGACTACGAAAACCAAGCTGAAGAATCAGAAGGAGAGGCAAACGTCGAACCTGACCAAGAAACGGATTCACCATGCATCCATTCCAGTGATGATACAACTCCAGCAGAATGTGACTCAATTTATTGCCAAACCAATAATGATGATGATGAGAATGATGATGAGGAGGAGGAGGATGGAGCTGCCACTGCTGTGGATCATCCTTCGACAGAAACTAGCAGTGTCACATCCACTCCTACTACGGATGACCACAACTCTGATTCACCCGCTCACAGTAGTGATCATGAGGAAGTAGACCACCCACCACCACTACCACCACAAGTACAGCGCTGCCACACACCCGATCCAAGTGATCTGACGATGGAACACGACCAATCCTGGTGGGAAGAGTGGGACGAAGAGATTCAACGACAAATGCCTTCCATCAACGCACTGGCGTCTCTATCAGCGGATGGGCAAGATATGATGAACCTGACGCAGCTGCAACACTATCTAGAGGGTGTAGCCGGAGAGGATCCCATTCTACAAGGAATTGCCGTTGCCTTTTACAAGGGACTCACGTTGCAACAAGAACGACACGATGCCAAAATACAGGACCTGCAGGAACAACACAAACAACAGCTCGCCATGCTACGGCAACAACATCAACCAAGCAACAACAACAACACCACTAGTCCCAGCAGTCCCACTCGAACCGAAGCCTTGAGGAGACGATGGCGGAGCAAAACGAGTCGAAGTGTCGACTTTACAAGACCAGCTCCTCTAGTAGGAGACAACGATCGTGATCATGATACATTCACTGTGGCAACCGTACTCAGTACCATGAGTTGCCGTGAACTTAGCATGGAACGATACCGCGCTCGAATACTGAGACAAATGAATGCCGGATTGGAAGCCGATGCCGTCACCAAGACGCAGCAACAACCACCTCCAGAAAGTAACAAGGAAGCTCCACAGCAAAACAGCGAGGAAATTCAACGGTTGCTCGATGATCTGCAACAAGCCGAACGTCGTCAAAAGAAACTAGAACAGCAGCTCAAACAGGCCGGAGTGGTCCTGGCCGAAGACATTCCCTACCAAGAAGCAAAGGATCAAGTCGCCAGAATATCCAAGCGCATGAACGAGATTGGCGACTCGGGAGTAGAGCACGACGACCCCGTCATGCAAAAGTCCCTCCGGGAGGAATACTATCGACTCGAAAAGGATATGGAACGCTACATTGCCGCACTCATGCTCACGGATGAATTCATGCAAGAACAACAGCAAGCTGAAGATGACTGGGAGGCGTCACAGGTACAAGAGAATCAGCACGCGTTGCAACAGATTCGACGACACATGCCCGTCATGGTCCGCATGATGGCGCGAAAGCAACTCGAAGAGGAGGGAATCCCACCGGCCATGATCAAAAAGTTTCAACGAACCAACGTCCTCCTTTTGCTGCGACGTGATCCCAAGGCAATTGCACGGTGGCATCCATCCAACTTGGAATCCCTTCGCGTATCGGGTATGACGTTGACCGAGCGGCGGGCTCTGCATCATCACTTGTTGCCGGCAGTCGCAATTTGGACGGGACGTCAAGGGGCGTCGTCGTCGGATGCACTCAATGAACGCAAGTTGACTTGGTGGCAAACGATGCGATCCAACTTGAAGGAATCGTTGGTACGATATGAACGCCATGTGCAGGAAGCAGATGATGGGGTTGCCGGTCATCGATGCAACTTGATTGGCAAACAATGTCCTGTGCGAGCCAATGAGGCCATGGACTATAGTGGTGATTTGGGCTTTCCAGCGGATGATGTCTACGAGGAAAGTACACCTGTTGCTAAAGCAGAAACCACGGACGGGTCAAACTCTGATCCAGCACAGTCATCATCAACGAAAGACGACAAGATCGCCAAGGATCGATTGGAACAACTTCGTGAACACTACAAGAGTGATCCAAAGAGAATTCAACAGGTCTCGCGTGCCCTTCAGGTCTGTGAGGCTATGGATACTGCCATGGCCCGAATCGACACGCAGCTGGAGGAATGGATCATCAAACAACTCCAGCCATCCCAAACTGACTCCTCCGAGGGACAGGTGGATGGTGCGCTTGAGTTTCTTGCGGAGCTACGAAGCAGTCTTTCTTCTTGGCTATTGAGAGACTCTGTATGCATTGTGGAAATTGGTCTTTCGGAAGAATTGGGCAAGGCTGCAAGAGATTACTTGGGAGGTGCGAGAGAAAACATTCTCTGTGGGGAGCTATCACCGGACCATGTTCGATTGAAACATCTTGCTCTGCTTGTCGAGAAACAGCTCCATGAACTCCATCTGCGCAATGATGTATTTGTTTCTTCGTCTCCGGGCGCTTCCCTCCCGCTTGAAACACGGGAACGGAAATCTCGTACGGAGATTATGGCCGAGCTCAGGAGACGAGAAGGCTCTGGTCAGAACGGCGGGAAAGTGTCAAACTGCAATAGAACCAGCCTACCAAGTCCTGGCCCCATTGCCAAGGACAGCACCCCACGACGAAAGCCAACCAACCATGCAAGCAAGCCAAAGAAAGGTCCGGCACCCAACGCGCTGTTGGCAGCCATTAGTGCACGTCGAGGAGCCAACTGATCTCTGCTCGATCAAGCTCGCTAGCTATAGCAATAAAATGTTAGTATTTTCTATGTTGCTACTGACTGATAAACAGCCTGAGAAATGTGTTGGTTATTAGGACCTTTCAGTAGTCTTTCCGGATTCCCAATTCGAGACCAATGATGGTCTTTGTAGCGATTCCGGCACCCTCGACTCAGGAGTGCGCACCCTCGACTCAGTGGTCACTCAAGGCTGCGGTGACAATTGCGGTGGCCAATCTAGTCCTGTTGCTTCTCTCTGAGCATGTTTTAGAGTTGCTTCTAGCTAGCTAGTGGCTCCTTGCACAGCAAAATCGACACAGATTTGATATTCATTACAGTATGTATTTGATTATGCTATAGCAGGCCTGTCCCGGAGCAGGGTTGCGTGGGCTGTATTGCTCGTGCCCCACATCACCCTGCCCACCCCCAACTTTGATTGTTTCCCAGCTCGATTGCTAGCTAGCTAGTTTGTTAGTTATGCCAGCTGTCTGCCTCCAGACATGTTTTGGAGGATCCCCCTGCCTCAAACATGTCTTCCAGGCTTTTCGATTGTCCATGGCTTTCCTCGTCCTCATCCTCAAACTCCTCCAGAACCTTGTGCTGTGATATTTGCGAGATGGGTTCGTCCACTTCCGTGAACGCTTCAGAGACGCAGCTACTGTGAAAGAGGGGACTCACGGGCATGCTGAGCGACATGTTCATGGACATGTTTCGCAACACTCGTTCGCTCTGTTGATAGAATTCGGAGGCAATTTCGGCGGATTCCTTTTCGTGTTCCTGAAAGGCTTTGATGGCGGTTTGGATGAGTTCTCCCTCCTTGTTGTCTCGTCGTCCACAATGCACCCGACTAATGAGATTTCCAAAGACGAGCACGAGCACGACAAAGTCATTCATCCAGATAATGACACTCTTGACAAAGTAACTGGTTTGGGAGTCGAGTCCGACAATGATCAATACGGGGACACCGACCAGGAATATTTGCATGTTGGAAATGACGGCGAGACTGAGGTAGTTTCCTTCGGAGAATTCTGCGGGAACATGTCGTGCGAGGTATGATTTGTAGCAGGCAAAGCCCATCAAAACGAGATGATAGGCGGCAATGATGGATGCAAAGACAACCCAGTGTTGGGACGTGCAATAGCCGTGCTCCTCTTCCATGAACTCATCGTCTTCTGGTTGTTGTTGCGTGAGTGGATCGACGATGGACCAAATGGTGAGAATGGCAACATCGACTCCGACAATGCATGCCACGGTAATGTATGTGGACGTGGAGGATATGGTGGTTCGTTTGAGACTTGCAGCGGCCTTGAAGAGTAGGTAGACACGTCGAATCTTGGCCAACAGCGTTCCAAATGTGATGGAGAACCCAACGCTGTACAACCAAGGCACGGCCATGCTGTAGTACAAGAATGAAGCAAAGAGAGCAACCAAATCGTGAGAATCGATGACATCCAAAAAGCAACACCTTCGCGATTATAAACGGTACGTACCATCCAGCCACGTTTCCTTGATTGTTGTTGTCATTATTGTTGTTATAGTCAGGGTCACGTCCCATTGCCAGAATGGTGGACGTGGATATAAAGCAACCCAGGAGAATCAGTAGTAGAAAGGGCACTTGTGCGACCTTGACTTTGGGTCGTTTCCGATGTACAATGACCCATAGTCCACAAATGGCAACCGCCACAAAGTTGATTCCGACCATGGCATTGGCGGCTTTGCGGAGTTCGTCGGGAATGCCTTCTTCGGCTTCGTCTGCTTGGTACACATACGACGATGACAGGTCTTCTTGTGGATGATAGTGGTCATGCTGCTGTGGTGTGATATGATGGATAAGAAAGCCTGATTCTCGAATGCTGTAGATCCACTTTCGAAGGTTGGCTTGGAGCGTGGTGTCCAAGCGTGGATTCATTGGCCAGGCCACATCGTATCGTGGTAAGGTATCTTCCACGGTCAGTAGAAAGTCGTCTTCATACTCGCGGAGAGCCATTTGGTCGTGTACCAAGAGATGGCATGTATTGTTTTGAAGGTGTGCAAGGCAATCCTGTGGTCTTGCACATTCCTGGACAATGTGTAGTTGTGGATACTGGGTGAATACCGCAGCTTGAATGCGGTTGGAAGTAGCTAGGCAAATGGGAGCTTTTAGAGTCTGTGCTTGTAGTAGGGAATTGGGTAGTTCTTGTAGTTCCTGTAGTTGTGCGGAGGAGGACTTGGAGGAGGAAGGTGTGTGGAGTGAGAGGGAGGCAATGCCAGTAGACAGTAGGGTTGGGGTGAATACGTTCTGGTAGGTTTGGCTGGTAGACCAAAAGTCTCCCACAGCCAGATCCAACTGATTGCAATCTTGAAGAGCCATTGGGTTGGCAGTGGTATTGCAATTGGCTGCCAAGTAGCTAAGGGTATCCGAGTAGACACTGTTGGAGTAGTGGACTGGCTGGAGCGCAAAGGTGAGGGTTACGTTGTCTTCTTGAAGAGCTACCCGTTGGATTTCTCGTAGTAAATCTGGTAGGAGTCCTTGGTACTCGAACGTTTGTTCTTGGTCGTTGTAGCTGGTATGTGAGGATACGTAAGGAGGGATATCCAATACCAGTCGAGTACGCAGTTCAATACTACCGGTATTACCCGTGCTACTACCGGTAGCAACACTGCTACTACTGCCATCAGCAGGCACTACTGGTATAGCCATTGCCAGCATCAAAAGAAGCTGAAGAAAGAATTTTCTAGTAATCATCTTGGATTGGAACTGAACTCACTATTGACTTTGAATGGAAGGGAAGTGAAGATCTGGAAGTGAAGACTTTGGTCTGGTTGTTGTTGGTGTTGGAACTCAACGCGTTGCTGCCGGTTTTGTGTTGGTGTTGTTGGCAACACGGTGCTAGCTAGTGAAAGAGTGATGGTCAGGACCTGGTCATTCAATACCTTCCTTACAAACCAAAAAACAAAAGGCGACGCGTTGATGATGGAGAGCTGAAAAAGTTTTTGGGAACCAAAAATGGTCATCCGATAGTAAAAAAGGTGAATCTGTGATCGTGGACATTTGTCATTCACACAGAATTCTCTTGTCAGGGGAAGCTTTCTTAAGAAGGTCAAACATAAAAGGAAAGTAGTGATTTATACCATATGACTATTGAACATGTTATTTAAATCATTTGTTTCAGTAAGACTTGAAGTCCATTCAAAAATGACCCAAATTCAAATAAAGAGGACATTCTGCAGGAAGGTGGATGAGTTCGCTTCCCCAGCTGGATGCACGCCGAGGCTTAAGTGAAAGTATCAGAGTTACGAGTAGCGGGATTGGCTTAGTGAATCTGTAAATAATATAAAATAGTTACTCCGTTGTACCGGTACACCAAAGACTGGACCGGACTCGACTCGTCTCGTGACGTCACGATTTGGCGGACTGAGCCTCACAGACGGACAGACCGCAAGGAGTGCTCTTCTTTGATGGTCAACAATCAAGAACCTTGAGTCGCAGCAAGCGCCCTCCATTGTTTTGTTTATCTTCTAGCTAGAGCTCTTGTATCGTCCTACCGGTAGCCTGGATCAAGACTGCTCTTTTCTAAAGGCAAGCTTTGCATGGATGCAATGACATTGCATTCTAGCTAGGAAACATACAGAGCTAAGGTACCGTTGCGCGCACTGGAAGAACATTACGAAAGCGTTGAGCACACATCACACTGGTATCTTTTTTACTGCACAGCTCACAGCCAAGGCAAGATTGCAAGGATCCAAGCAACAGCCTTCTTCAAGCAAGATGACTGGACATGTTTTAGCAGTCCATAAACAACTTGTGATTACAGGCTTGGCTCTGCTCTTGACACTATCAGGAATTGTTCCAGTCACAGCTCAGCAGTCCACTGTGGAGGTGCTGGGTAAAAACTACAATGTGGAAAACACCATGGAGATTGACCAGTCATGGAAACAACTTGAAGGATCCATTCCCACAGAAATTGGATTGCTGACCAATTTGATCGTTTTGAATCTGGAAGGAAACCAGATTTTTAACGTTCTTCCAAGTGAGATTGGCGAGCTAACGGCTCTGACGCTCTTGAATTTGGCTCAGAATCAATTAACGGGGAGTCTTCCCACAGAAATTGGGCACCTCACTTCCATTGAAACACTGCGGCTGTCCCAAAACCAGTTCACCGGCAGCATTCCTTCCACGATTGGATTGCTGACGGCTCTGGAAGAATTGTATTTGCAAACCAATATTTTGTCCAACACCATTCCGACAGAGGTTGGACTCTTAACGGCCATGAGAGGACTATTTCTCAGCTCCAATGCACAAATGTCGGGGACAATTCCTACCACTATTGGATTGTTAACGTCATTGACAACGTTGGCTTTGGACCAAGATCAGTTGTCCGGAAGTATTCCTAGCGAAATTGGTGCACTGACCCTTTTGAATTCCCTGGTTTTGGATGTCAACCAATTGTCAGGCAGTATTCCTTCCGAGATTGGGTTGTTATCAGCATTGCAATATTTGGGATTGCGGGAAAATATTTTATCGAACAGGCTGCCAAGTGAGATTGGCCTCCTACGTGGGTTGGGGCAAATATGGCTCAACAACAATCAGCTTTCTAATGTTATTCCTTCCGAAATAGGCTTGCTACGAGTTTTGAGAAGATTGAGCATGCCAAATAATGCCCTGTCGGGGAGAGTGCCTAACACTATTGGCTTGCTCACAGCATTGACTCGATTGGAGTTGGAGAGCAACCAGTTATCTGGAAACATTCTGCCTGCAATTGGGTCGCTCACTAATTTGGAGGATTTGAGGTTGAGCAACAACCAATTGTCAGGGAGTATCCCTTCGGAGATTGGCTCCCTGTCAAACCTTTTTCACTTGCTCTTGCATAACAACAAATTGTCTGGAAGCGTTCCCAGCAGTCTGTGTTTCAACTTTTTCTTGGAGGAAATCGGAGTAGATTGTGCTCCAGATCCCTTTCCTGTGAACTGCACATGTGATGTGTGTCAATGCTATGAAAGGGAAGTTGATACTGACACGCCAACCAGCAGTCCTGATGTTGACAGTGAGGATTCTGAGATGACTACTACCCCTCCAGCCATCCCACCTTCCAGTGCCTCAGATATTGGTGATGAAGATTCAACAAGTACAGCCCCTTCATCTGCTCCCATGATGGATGCTGCAACCCCAACAGCTGCTCCAATTCTTTCCAATGGCTCTGATGTTGCTGTTGAAGTTTCTGCAAGCCACATCTCCATTCCTCTTGGTGTCTGTTGGTTGTTTCCATTCATACTCCCACTTTTGCCATTCTAGTGAACCGAGAAGTGATCCATCGCTCACTAGAGGAGGCTTTGCTACGAGCCGGGTACATGGTTTGATTTTCCCAAAAGGAGTACCAAGATTGATGGGAGCAGCCAGAAGATCAAATCAATTTACTTTTCATGGGGCAAAACTTGTTCTATTGCCCGAAGATCATCCCATTCACTCGGCCTTTGCTCTGACACAGCAGGAACTCACGATACGTTGCTGCGGGCCTATCTGGGTACTCTGTACGCACTGTATGGAAATCAGATCACAGCATCGTAACGTGGACACGTACTTTTAAAAACGAAAGCTGTTGATTCGCGCGGTGTCACTTTTGATGATCCCGCATATCAACACAGTCGATATCACTGCCGTAAACTGTAGGTTGGCTTGCTGTGACAATTGACCTGGCCATGGATGCAATAGATTAACAAAGACAATAGACAAGTTGGTTGTTTCTCTTGCCTATCTAGCTAGTGTTCCGTCCTACAGCTCTTCGTGAGGATGTCCAGACATGCACCCGTGGGCTCTACACGAAGTGCCCTCAACTTGAAGCTTCGAAAGGCGAAGGTTGAAAGGGTTTCTTTGGCAGCTAGATATTCGCAAGCGTCAAGGGACTCACGCAACTTTCGGAAAGTTTCGGGCCAAAGACACGAGTGACTAATCCCGGTACTTTTGAGTCTGTATCTTTTGCTTCAAGTTCCACAATCAATTAGCTAGCTTCACTTGCGGTGCATCCCTCTAACCCATTTCAACACCTTTTGTGGCAGGATAAGATGCATCTGAATGCTGAGAATGTATTCTACAACATGCATATTGCATATGGCAGCTAATGAGGAAAATAGAGCGCTTTGGGGTGCAAACAGCTTTCTGAATTATTAGACACCATGTTTTGCTTCGAGAATCTCATCTCGCTAGTCTAGCTAGCTAGACTAGCGCTCCGGTCGCGTATTTTTGATATCCTTGTTGTTAAGATAATGACGACGCTGTGACATCCTTTTTTATAAATAGCTACTAGCTAGAGAAGGGGTTTGAGGTTGCACATGGAGGCGCCGGCACCTCGTGCTATCCCAACTTTAGGGCCAAAGACACGAATATCTTTGATATCTTTTTAAATCTTTGATATCCTTTCATATCTTTTGAAGGCACCGGAGCCTCGTGCTATCCCAGAGGAATGGGAAGCTCGTTGCATCAAGCAAAAGTTTATCCTCATTAAATTTTGCAGAAGAAGCTACAACTAGTGAACGCTAGCTAGAGCCGACAACGTGAAACTATGTTTGCCATGAAAGTCCTCTTGACTCTTGCGTTGATCATCTCCTCTGTTCAGCACAGCGTGTTGGTAAATGTGCATCTTTGGCTGCGCAAATTGTACATGCTATTGATAGTACCTGGCCAACCGTAACTCACCGTCAGTTTGTTTTTTGCATGAATTCATTCGAAGAGAACGAGGAGGATGTCCAGCAGCCTTTCCTTCGAGGAACAGAGTTTGATGAAGCTGCCATTGTTGCATCTGGCAACGATCGCTCTCATGATCATCATCATCGACACCTCATTTCAGAGGACAAGTACTATCACATTTTCAACGTGATCAAAGTTGGCCATGTGGGGATATGGCAGCGGAGATTTTGGAACCTACGAAGGTGCCTACAATCGGGACCAGTTGTGGAAGTTTCGCGAACACAAAACTAAGAGGGGATATTACTACATCATCAACCATGGTACGTATCTCAAGGAACCATACAGAGCCATCAACGAGTACGGCACCGGCACATGCAGAATATAAATAGCTCACTGTCTCACTCTGGCCAATGCTTACGACTCACTTGTTCAGCTAGAACAGGGTAAGTACGGTACAATTGACAGGTGTCTTTCAAGCGTGGTGTGCCCCCAAACCATGTTTTCACACTGTGTTGTTCTTTGTATACACCTGCTGTGCTACCTCGGCTGTGCCTTAGGTGCCGCATTGCCAAATGGGGGCCGGAATTTAGGTCCACTGGCTCCTACTGCTCGGAATACCATGATGACCAGCTTTGGAAACTCATCCCAAAATACGGAAAACCGAATGTCTACTCCTTTCAAAACTACGTGAGTGTACTGTACTATGCATGCATGGCTGGCAAGCAATCAAACAAGCCCTGACTTGCCATCCTCGTTTGTTCCAATAATGTATGTTGTTGCTCTATATGATTCGATTCGATACGGAATAAAAGAAATACCCTCACCACTGGTTGGTCAAGTACGCCCATCGAGACCACGCGGTTGGAAGTTATATACCGCGACGTTTAGCTTATCTTTGGCGCCTCGAGGAAAGAGACCCTAAGGCGTAAATCATCAAGGATGCCAGGGTGAATCAATAAGGTGAACGGAGAGAGACACCATATATGTCAAGTCAGAGCCACGAGGATCTATCAGTACTCTGCTTTTTATTAAAGTTCACAGTTTCCAGTTGTCTTGCCATTGCTATGATAGCTAGGCCGAGCTACCATGCACTCACATTAGGCAAGCAGGTTGTTTCTTATGTTACGTTCCGTTTTACTACAGTACATACATCTGTTCATGTATAGTCTTCTCCCATTGCAATTCAAATAAATTTCATTGGTACTACGATTCTCTGCTTCTCTACAACTTTTTTGCAAACGCATCCATTCGAGAGAGCACATCGGAGAGGAAGCGGGCGTCATGACTAAAGAAATGATCGCCTCCCTCATAGACTTTGAGCTCGGATTTTCCTTCTTGAACTTTGGTCAATTGGAGCCACTTGTCTTCCGAGTCTCGATAATCGGCACTCCCATTCATGTAGACAATGGGAATCGTAATCGATGCCAACATGTCAGCAGGAGCAACCGTGCGGAGACACTCGACTTGGGCATGACCCTGGTCAAAGAACATGCCAGCTCCAAAGGTGGATGCGAGAATGTAGTGAAATTCCGTGGCGGTTGATTTCTTCATTTCTCCTGCCATGAGCTTCATCAAGGTGGCATTGGACATCTTTTTGGACATGTAATCGAGCATGACCAATCCAGCCTTGGCTTTGAAACTGGCATCGGGTCCAACATTTTGCCCAACATCGATTTGTACGGCTCCATGAAACGTCCCGTTGAGTTGCTTCAGAATGTAAAAACCAATGTATCCACCCAGAGAAGTACCAACGTAAATAATCATTTTGTCCTTGGTGACAGCCTGACACTCGTTGAGGACGGACTGTACCGTTTGGGTAGCCGAGTCCAACGTTAATTCTTGATCGACCAGTGTGCCGTGACCGGGCAGATCCAACAAGATGGACGAGTGGCCAAACTGTTCCTTCAGTTCGAGCGCATGATAATGGTACAACTGACGCGAGGCTCCACCGCCATGGCAAAAGACAAAGACAGCATTGCTACCGCCCTGAACAATGTCATAGGTCTTGCTGAAATCCAACGTGGACGTTTCTTCAAAGCAAGGTTGACACAGACATTTCAAGGATGCCTTGGAAAGATCTTGGTGTTTCTTAGTGTCCGTCGTAGTATCATCAGTAGTATCATCATTGGGTAGCATCATGAGAGGACGTTTCCCGTGGCAAGCAGAACACAAGCGTGCAGAACAAGTCTTGTTGGGATTCTCACAGGGATAATCATTGGGACTTGTCATCAACCAAAACACAGAACCAACCAAAGACCGACCAAGAGGCGCTTGGCAACAAGTACAAGTGGCGGACATGTTGGAGGAGGATGATGAAGTTGGGAAACAAGAGGAAGGCATTGGCAGAATGGAATGCTAAACCTGTTTAGCGGAGAAGAATCTTCAATCTTCGGATTTGAATTTTGTCTCCATTTTGTTGTCGTTGGTTCAAGGGCACACGAAGAAAAGATTTACGAAAGATCGCATCACGACTAAATCTTTTCTTGAGTGGGACTCAATCGAGAACTGTGTCAGCTACAGAACTCGTCTCGGCATCTTCTTCTCTCCAGTCACAGCAAGATCCACAGCATTGGCGCACACCCTATCCTAGAGTACTAGTAGTGCATGTAGCATACACTTGTTCCCGTACTGTAGTTTTTAACCCGGCAGTCTTACTGCCAGAGCTCTCAACCCCTTACAAATTCAAGCTCAAGGGAACTGGACCGATTGGGTTTCACCTACGGTAGGATCTGCACTGGATGTGATCCCCGGACCATCAGATCTCCTTTGTTGCCCCCAGGAACAGCTTTCTGCATTGTACCACGCTAACTATTGTACCGAAAAGGGTATCCCATGAAACTAATGGTGTCAGTGTCAAAGTGCTCATCAGTTGTAAGATACACGTGCCGCGTAGCCGCACCTCAGGGACGAAAAAATGGATTGAATTCGATTCGACTCACGTACTAGTACCTGGTATGCGCCAGTGCGACACAGCTGTATGCATAGGTCCTTCATGATGCATCCAATCGAATGGTTGAATCGAATCATGGTAACGCCACCCAACGTTTCGCTCGAGGCAATCCTTCCGCATCACGACGTTTGGTTAGTACAGCGTCGCAATACGAACACGGGAATCGCTGGGCGGTCGCGGCACCTCCAATTTCACGTTCGTCAACAATAAACTACAATTTGACGACCATCATCATAAAACAAACAAGGCCACAGTGTTGCTTCCTTCGCCATTTCTAATTTTCTTCGTCGCTGATCTATAAACCATTCGAATCATTGTCATCATGGGCAAAACAACCGGTAAGTGACGTGGGGGTTCCATGATGCATGCACGAGTGCTGTCTCAATCTGCATCGGCTGGTAACCTCCTTGCGGCGCTCTGAAGATGTCCTCTCATCGTGACGATCTCGTTGATCTCGTTTCTTGTTACACGCAGCTACCAAGAAGGACGCTCCTGCCAAGGGAAAGGCAACGCAAGCCAAGAAGAAGAAAGGCGGAGGCGGCGGTGACACCAAGGACGTGATCTTGAACTACATGGCGCAGATGCACTCTCTGGGGATTTCCGAGGTCACCGAGGCTGCCTTGTTGAAGGAAACGAACTACGCTGGCACGGACAGCAAAGGATTTCGAAACCCAATGAAGGAACTCACCAAGGGCCTGGGCTACATTACCAAGGAGGCCAAAACGTACAGTCTCTCCGACGATGGACGTCAGCATCTCATGGAACAAGGAAAGCTGGCTTCACCTCCGGCTACGCTGGAAGAAAAACAAGCTCATCAGCGAGAACTTCTCGGCAAAATGTGCAAGACTCCTGTGGCCAAGTTGGATGCGGTTTGGGCGATTCTCTTGGATGGAAAGCCCCACACTACCGCAGAACTCTTGACTGCCTCTGGATACAAGGGCGCCGACTCGTCAGGATACAAGTCCATGATGAAGGAAATGAAGGCGTTGAATTTTCTTGATGAGAGCACAGGCAAAGGAAAGGTCAAGTTCTCTGACAAGGTTCTCAAGCTTTGAGGCTGTCAATTGAGCTTCCTCGCCACGACAATGGTGGTCAGAGTATGCACCGTCTCGATACTTTGTTTCGATGAACGGTTCTACAGTACGGTACCTGCTTAGCTTTAGTTAGTTAAATTCATGAGCTGAAACTACAGTATAGCAAAGCCATATATTCAAACAAGCATGGTTACTTATACAATTACTGTAGAATCTTTCAATGCCCTAGGCATGAAGGGGGATCAGGGTTGTCTTCTTTATCAGGGATCAATAAGCTTTCAAGTCCTTTCTCCCCTTCCCACGGTGCTACCAATTGCAATGGTGCCTTTGCTCTTTGCTACCAGTTCGGTTCAATCAAGGGTTGGGTGTGTGATCTTTGCTTGGTGGTTGAGCCGCTTGAGCGGTACCGTACGGAACGGTACAGTAGATCTAGCCTGTACGGTCGTACCGGTACCGGTGGCGGCTTTTACCAGCTACTGGGGAACATACAAGTATAATATAGTTGTCCAACACTGAAAATTGGGAGTTAAGAGAGGGGAAGTACTCTATAAAAGCTTAGATGAAACTTCAATCAGAGAATAAGCTTGAATGTTGCAAATGCAGCTACAAGCCTGCACAGCTGGAATACACAGGCGTTTCTAGGCCTGGCTGGCTTGCAATCCTGCCTCCACAAAATAGTTGATATTCAACACTGTTGGCCATTGAACAGACCAAAGATATGTAGGGAGCCAAATATAGATAGCTCCCTACCCAAGACTAGTATTTTAGACTTGTAAACAGCAATAGCCATAATTTTACTTTAGAGGGCTACTGCACTCAGATCTGAAGCCTTTACCGCTCTCGAGTAAAGCCTCGTGTACACGACGAAACGAAAAACCAACCATGACCAACTCGTTCTCCAAACCGATGACAGCTGAGCAAGAGCGTACTCTTCAGAAGAGCTCGCTCATGCCGTATGTTCGTGAGAGCAAGGGCGAGCAAGATCGCAAATTTCTGTAACGTATGGAGACAGTTCGGGTATTTTTCCATTGGCGTCTACGACGGCTGGACCTCCAGCAGACATGATTGCTCATGTCATGGGATACGCGAAAACGGTTGCAGACTTGGCTCTGTCTCACGAGCAACAAGGAGCGCTGTATTGCAAGTGTCTGACGGACACAGCTCTCACGGCCTATGACAAAGCCGTGACGAAGTACCGTGCAAGCATCGCTGCTGTGCCGGCACAAGGTGCTGAACCTGCACGAATGGCAATCGATTTCAATATCGAACAATGCCTCAAGGCCTTCATTGGGTCCCGAACAACGGAGGTTGCTCGCTACAACCAAGTTGAAGGGCTCAAGGTTCAACGTAAACCACGTAAAGTGGAGTGTCACGAATGGGAGGACAACTACTTGGTCGCTGTCGAAGCAGCCAATTGGTTGCGTGGAACGCATCCCATTCCTGATGGAGCGCCTTTGCTCCGACACTACTTGGATTCTTATCCAGTCGCGTGGGTCACGGAATACGAAAAGATCTGTGGCAAAACGCTAGACGACAAGGAAATCGGTAACATTACCGCGTTTATGCATGATCATGCAGTGGAAGCTGACTCAGCTGCACGGCGCAATCAACACAAACAAAAGTCAACAGTGACAAAAGGCAAATCGACCAGTCGCACTGCCAAGCACTACAAAGGTAGCAATAGTTCCCGTAACTCGTCTTCGGGAACAAAAGGAAATTTTAACCGCATTTCCGACGACACTCCATGCCCAGTGCATCCAGAGTCGACGCACACTTGGGGAGAATGTCGTACCAATGTGTATGGCAATTACACGCAACAACAACAACAACAACCCGTCGTGCTGCGCGTCCCAGACGAATGCTTACCCGGTAGTAGGTAACAATGAAAAGCGGTGAATCAAACTCACGCAAACGACGAACAATACGCATTGGATGAAACGAGTCCAGGGTTCCAAAATTCCAACAATGGTAAGACATTGATCACGAATGATCCTTTGTCCAGTTTCACAACGCAGTCACACCTTGACTCACATCACTTGCATTCTTTCACACAACAGGAGGTGGATCCGAAGTTCGCTTCGATCCAACCTTCAGCTGCATCGAAGACGACAACATCGCCATCGCCTGGAAAGCTCTCTACGAGGACAAACCAGAGTATGCGAGAGTGGCCTTTGCCACACGCAAGCGCTTCTAATGAAGCGTCAAGGCGAGATGAACAAATGGCGACAGCCGTCGATGTAGCAACAGACGATCTGTTCGATCCAACAGCGGATCTAGTGAATAGACAAATAAACTCTACTAGAGAAGTGATTGTACCAAGAAAACCTAATCCATTAGCTTCCCCAAGCACAATAGTCGTCATCAAGAAGATAGGCGATCGTGATTCTAAGAAGACTCTTAGAGCTTTATGTGACCCTGGCTCTACACGTAGCTACATCTACAAGCAAGCATACCCGTGGTTGCGAAGTAAGAGCGTTCAAACGCAGTCGAGTTCAAGTGTTGCACACGACCACTCAAACAGACAAAGTCGTCATCGTCCAAGACATTGTAATGCCAGAGTTTAGCCCCACTAAACATGTCACAACCCCCTTTGCTTGCTATCTAGCTGAAGGACAGAGTTCATTCGACCTCATCTTAGGTCGTGACTACTTGGAAGCTGTCGGTATTGACAACTTCAATTCTAGACAAGTATGACGATGGACACCTAATCCTCAGTCTCCTGACACGTTCATGGAAATACCATACCGTGTTGCACCAAAAGCAACTGAACGATTTCGTGCTGTTCAGCAACAGTTCCTAGCTTCAATCGATGAAGACTATTCCTTCTTCTGTCAGGCCGAAGAGGAATTCGATCCACTCGAGGATGCTTGTCCAGAACAAAATATGTCTCAAGTATGAACAGTCGAATTGACAGTGTGGTGCACATCCGTATCTGGTCTCAGGAACAACAAGTGATCTTCATGGTCTCTTGATTCGATTCAAGAAGCTTTTCAGTGGCAAACTTGGTAGTTACCCACACCGCAAAATGCATCTGGAACTTTTACCAGGTGGTCGTGAGAAACTCAAGTTTCAACGACCATATAGTGTGCCTGATGTGCACCGGCAGTCTTCCAGAGAACTGCATCGATTGGTTCGACCATGAGTCTTATCAAAGTTGGGAATGTCCGAGTTGGCGGTACCAACTTTTATCATTCCGAAAAAGGATGGTCGTATTCGATGGATCTCTGACTTCAGAGCCCTGAACACCGTCATCAAACGCAAATGCCACTCTTTGCCTCGCATTCACGAAGTGCTCAAAAAAAGAAGTGGCTACGAGTTCTTCACTAAGCTGGATATCTCTATGCAGTACTATACCTTCGAACTCTCTGATGAGGCTAAGGATCTATGTGTGATCAACACACCCTTTGGTTTGTATCGTTACAATAGAGTTCCCATGGGAGTCAAACAATCTCCAGACTTTGCACAGGCAGTCATGGAGAGTGTCCTCCGTGACATTGACGACATCGAAGTATACATTGATGATGTTGGTTGTTTCAGCAAATCCTGGAACGAACACCTCAAGACACTTGAGGTTGTCTTGACACGTCTACAAGACGCTAACTTTACCATTAATCCCCTCAAATGTGAATGGGCTGTCAAGGAAACAGAATGGTTAGGCTATTGGCTCACTCCTCGTGGACTGAAGCCCTGGAAAAAGAAGATCGAAGCAATCCTTCGATTGAAAGCTCCACGTAACATTCGTGAAGTCCGTAGCTTTGTGGGCGCGGTCACGTTCTACAGAGAACTCTTTCCACGTCGGTCACACATCTTGAATCCTCTCTATGCACTTACATCCAAGTCGCGCGGGTTCAAGTGGCTCGATGTGCATCAAAAAGCTTTTGATCAAGCCAAGGCCGTCATGGCTCGGGATATCTTCATCCGCTCCCTGTATCACAATAAACTATCCATGATCTACACAGATGCTAAGTGATTACCAGCTCGGTGCTGTCATCATGCAGGAAGGCAAACCTGTCGCTTACTACTCACGTAAGCTTAATTCTGCCCAGAAAAACTATACAACAATGGAGAAGGAATTACTCTCCATCGTTTACACTCTCGATGAGTATCGTTCCATGCTCTACGGTGCTAAGGAACTACACATCCACACGGATCATAAGAATCTTACTTATGCCAACCTCAACTCTCAGCGAGTCCTTCGTTGGCGCCTCTTCCTAGAGGAATTCAATCCTCAATTCCATTATATTAAGGGAGAAACCAATACACTTGCTGACGCCCTCAGTCGGCTTCCTCGTCAGGAGGGGAAGGGTAATGAGACTCCTTTGTCTTCGATACCGACACAGTATTCTCACAGCCAGAATCGACAATCTTCCGCAAGTGAAGTGGATGCAGTGTCAGGACCTGAGCGTACCGTACTAGAGACGCGGAAATGCTTAGTGCTTCTCACTTTCCGTTAGTCAACATTGACACACCATTCGCACTTGACTTCGACGTCATGAAAGGCGAACAAAAGGACGATGAACGTCTACAGAAAGCTGTCAGAGAACAGCCAAAAAGGTATTTCTCCCAAGTCTTCTCAGACGGCGGTCCAGAAGTAATCTGCTACCGTGAATCCGAAGGCGCAACATTCCGAATATGTTTGCCAGACTCAATGGTGGAAGACGTCGTACGCTTCTACCATATGACGTTGGTTCATCCAGGGCCACGTCGATTATACGAAACACTTTCACAAGTGTACAAGAACAGTCGCATACATGGCGCTGTTCAGAATTTATGCCGCACATGCGATGCTTGCCAACGTTGCAAGACTCTAGGGGCAGGATATGGTCATCTGCCACCTAGACAAGCTTTTGCCGTGCCGTGGTATGAAGTGGCTGTGGATCTCATTGGTCCATGGGAAGTCCGTGATGAACACGGCAAGAAACATAGCTTCTCAGCTCTCACTATGATCGACACAGTTACCAACTGGCCGGAAATAGTCTTGATAGACAACAAGACTGCGTCACATGTGGGACGACAGTTCGAGAACCATTGGTTGGCGCGATACCCCAAACCAATGCGTTGTGTGTATGACCAGGGAGCAGAATTCACTGGCCACGCCTTTCAGGAGATGTTGTTGAAACACGAAGTCTCCACTCACCCGATTTCAATACGAAATCCACAAGGCAACTCCATAGTTGAAAGATTACATCAATCTATAGCCAACTCACTTAGGGCTTTGGCTTATGCTCATCCTCCGAACAATGAATTAGGAGCGCGAACGATGGTGGACACGGCTTTGCAAACAGCAGCCTATGCCGCTCGTGCGACAATGCATCACACGATGAAACTGTCTCCAGGAGCCATGGTGTATGGACGAGACATGATACTCAACATCCCTGTTGAGGCCGACTTTCAGTTGTTGAGACAACGACGTGAGGCTCGCATCAACTACAACCTCATGAACGAAAACAAACGTCGCATTCATTTCGACTACCAAGTCAATGATCAAGTCCTGCGACTAGTTCCTCAGCCCAACAAGTTGGACAACAGAGCAGAGGGACCGTACACTATCACTAGAGTACATACCAATGGTTCCATAACCATCAGACTTAGTCCTCATATAGAGGAACGCGTCAATATACGCGGAGTCAAGCCTTACAGGCAATGATGAGGTTTTCCTTCCTTCGCAGTTTCCTCATGTAACAATCCGTCGTCGGATTCAATATAATGCTAACTATGCAGGCTTATCATGCCAAGTAGCAAGCCAGCATACCTTGCACGACAGCATGCTGGCTCTCGCAACTGTGACTAACTGTGACTAAGCATGACCGCACCAATGCGACAGCTTATAGGGGCAGGGTGCAGCGACAAGCCTGCACAGCTGGAATACACAGGCGTTTCTAGGCCTGGCTGGCTTGCAATCCTGCCTCCACAAAATAGTTGATATTCAACACTGTTGGCCATTGAACAGACCAAAGATATGTAGGGAGCCAAATATAGATAGCTCCCTACCCAAGACTAGTATTTTAGACTTGTAAACAGCAATAGCCATAATTTTACTTTAGAGGGCTACTGCAGCAAAGTCCCAACCATTATTAAAGGTCCTTTATATCATTATTGTAGACTACGATTACGAAGCGGTACTGTATTGTGTATTGGAGCTTTAAGCGTGTTCCCCTGTTCCCCTCACCCGTCACCCTCAGCTTGTTGTCTGTGCGTGCAGTCTATTTTGCTGCTTGGTCGGCATGCAGCACTGAGCTCTTTCGATACACAAACCACAAACGACAAACTCCGGCTACAATCTGGTCTGGTAGCATATCTGAAGCTACTGACATCCTTGTCCTTTCAGTTAGTTATCAAGATAAGAGTTTGGATAGTCTAGTGAGATGATGACTGATCAAATGGAGATTGAGACAAGTGACGTTGAGTGCAGTGCCAATGGGGATCTAGAAACGGAACCGGCATCCATCAACGCTGAGCAAGAGACTTCTCTTGGAGAGTTGCCAATGGAAATGGCAAGGGCAGAGGATTTTCAAGACTTGGAAGCTTTAAAAGCTCTAAAAGCTACTGAAGAAACCACAAGTCTCAAGGATATTGTACCGCTGCCACAGCCATTGCCACATACAACGTCTGCCCAGTCACCAGCACCAGCTACAGTCACTGCAAGAAACTCTTCTACTACATGCAGTACACCCGGTACCAGTAGTACCGGTACTTCTATGGTCAGATCACAGCTGAACCTCAGTGCCAATGAAGTTAGAGAATCGGAACGGCCATATGTCAACACTGAGCAAGGAACAGACATTACTAGTCTACCAATTGCAAAGGCAAACACGCACAGTTTTCAAGATCCGGAAGCTTCCAACAGCCCTACTGGTACCAATACTACCGGCATGTATACCAGTATCAAGGAGATTGTTCCTTTATCCCAGCGATTTGCAGACCTTCAACTCAACGACCTACTAGATGCTTCCGAGCAAGCAACCACCATCCAGGATATTGTCCCATTGCATCAGCCATTGCCAGAACCCACTCTTGCCTCCCCACCAGCGGCAGCTACTGTAACCCCAGGAGCTTATAACGTGACACCTGCTGGGAGGCATCATCCTCCAATGCCCCCAGTACAACTCACACAGCATCCACCACATCCTCCACCACAACTTACAACACCAACAACAACAACACCAGAAAGCCCCTCCAATGCACCCCAAGCAACACTACCAACAGCTCTTGTGCATCATCATCATCACAGAAATATACCCACAAGAAAACGAAAAATACTGGAATGCTGCATCCTGGCAAATGGGGCCTTGGGTATCATTCTACTGGCCGTCATTTTGGTCGCCGTGTTCAGCTCCATCCAGGATGGTGATACCATTAACTATCCACCAAAACAGTCCACACCCACCAATACGGATCACAATTCGAATGCTACACCGGACCAACTTTCCTCGAACCAAACTGATAGTGTCAGCAGCAACAGTTCGTCCAGTTTGGAAGAAGATGACGAAATTGACAATCTACTTATACTGGACAATCTCCCACAACAAACCTTGAACAGTTTGCTAGATCCATTCCCCCCCCAAAGTGAGGCGTATCATTGGCTCGAAACTCATCCCGACTTGGACACTTATCCTCAATGGAGACGACGGCAACTCATGGCACTCGCCACCTTCTACTATGCCTTTGACGGGACACGCTGGCCACTCGGAATCAACCTCGACTGGCTCGATAAAACTCGATCCGAGTGCAACTGGTACTCCAGCTGGATTGGATACTGGGCTGATGACGAACTTACCGTCTTTCAACACAACCCCGACAGCCGCATCTGTAACGACAAGGGCGAATACACGGTACTCTACCTGGGCGAGGCTAGCTCTTTGGGGTTCGCCAAAGACAACATCACCTTTCCGTTCGAATTGTCCTTCCTTTCCACGCTACAAATCTTCAACTGGAGAGCCAATGGACTGTCCAAGCATAGTGAAAGCGGAGATCATGCTCTCTGGCCTGCCGAGTACTATCAACGCTTGACCAACTTGGAACATCTCAATTTGGGCGAAAACTCCTGGAACACACACCTGCCAAGTGAATTTGGCATGCTCACCAAACTCACTTCTTTGAATCTGCAAGAATCCAATCTGCGAGGACGGATTGCCTCCGAGTTAGGACTCCTTTCCAATCTACAATTTCTCGAGCTCGACACCAACCAGTTCACTGGGTCCATACCGAAAGAACTACAGCAAATACCCACGTTGCGGTTTGTGGAACTGCACTACAACCCCTGGCTCACCGGAGACATTCCCACCAACTTTTCCGAATCCATGCAAGGCATGACGCTACGGGGAAATGACTTGTTGCTATCGCCGTCGGGAACCACCATCCCACCACCGGTATGCGTGTTGGATGATTTGCAATCGTTGCCGAATTGCCGTTGCGAGATGCACAACGAGACGAGTGCCTGCCCCTGCACATGTATACGTGGGGAGGATTGGAATCAGACTACTACTACCAACCGAACCGCGGCGAGTCTCAATAGCACGTCAGGATGAAACTTTGGAGCAGACGGCCAGGCTTACGGGGAAGGACAAAACGGTAACAAAGCGAATGAAGTAGGGACAATACTACAATCTAAGAGTTGCGTGCGCAGCTTGCCAAATTGGAGCAGAATATAGGTTTGCTAGCCTTGAGGTTTGTGGTTCTGCTGGTTTTCCGACAGCCATTACAACTTGGGGTACAAATTGGGATCTCCACTCTATTGATCATTCGTTTTGGCCCATGTTGACATCCCTCGCGGGCGTATCAATCCACATTGGTTCTACGTCCAGCTATCTACTAGCAAGAAAAATAAATACTAAATAGATACGTTAAGGAGCGAGGGGGGCGAGGCTAGGCCATGCAGTGGCTGCGGTGGTGGGTGGCTGTTGTGGTGGGCATACGGGGAAAGCAATGAGGACGCGATCAGGGCAAAACAAGGGGGGGGGACAGGGAAGGGGGGTGCATGGAGGAAAACCAGGAAGGACAAGGGAGCAAAATTAGCGGGAGAGTGCAAGGGCACCATCGGCATCCCAGAGAGAACGACAGTAGCTCATTGTGCCAGCAGGGACACCAGAGCCACGCATGCAGATGTGGCGGGCCCGAAGAATAGCTAGGCTGAGCCGAGCATTAACGTAGCCACGCACCACTGAGTAAGGGCGTTCCCACTTGGCAGCGAGCAAAGCGGAAATACTTTTCGCGAGTGCCTCAGCTTCGGCCCCAAGGAGACCATCAGCAGAGACAACAAACGGAGTAAAGTGGCGGCGTTGGGAAAGACAGGCGTCGAGATACTTGCGTTTCTTGTCACGTTCGCCATTGCGAAGGACCTTGTCAGGATCCTTGCGACAGTGAGAAGCAACATTAAGATTGATGACACGAACATCAATTATGCCGTCAGTTCCGCGTTGCCAGAGGCCACGGATAAGGAGATCACCTCGTTCCTCGGATGGGAGTCTCTGGAAGGCGAAGCATCTGGAGCTGCAGAGCAACTAAGTTGGATACGGGGTTCGTCGCGAACTGCAGATGGGATGAATGCCTTGGCAGCGAGATCACCGAGTTCATCACGCACTTCATTGTGGCGTTGGAGAACCAGGCCGCCCTTGGTACAGGAAAGGGCGTGAGTGATAGTCACGGCAGAGGCCCCAACGAGAAACCGGGAATCGAGCCAGCAAGTCGTTCCTTTGTTGCACCCCCGATCCCACAGAACCTTGCGTTGACTTTGAACCGTACCGTACGCTGCAAGCTAGGTTTGCTGTAGTGGCCGTTAGAGGTTCCAATGCTGGCTTCCGGTGACGGTGACAGAGGGAACTTGAAAGTGCGAAGAGAGTAGCTTTATCATCATCTCAGCGGGCTTATTTCCAAAACCTATGTTTGGATGTGTCAGGACCGGTATTGCCGCAACACTGACTCTCGGAAGGACGATACCGGTACTGCACTGTGGTATGCTGCAATGAAACGCCTTCCTATCCGGAAGGAAGGCAATCTCTTGTTTGAACTTCGTGGCATCATTCTGGGTCAGTCTTGCCGTTGTTGCTTTGCTCTGGCTGGCTTTGCTTTCTCGGCTTGGTGGTGGCGGTTTTTCTAGTCTACCAGCATAGCAACTAACCGCGCGGTTCCTCAACCATTCTTGCCTGGCTCTTTGAGCGGTCTTGTTTGGACGGCAACTGGGATACAGTACTAGTACCCATGTGTGAGCCACCGGTATCCAGTTGAGTAGTTGTCTAGCGCTTTTGTGAGCCAAGAAGCAAAAAGAAGAGGTTACAGCCATTCAAACTGTTCGCTACTTGGTAGGCAGCTGTTACTCAAAGTGGGAACAATGCGCGTGGTGTGCAACAGCGCTGGCGGAAGCCACAGCCCTTCGAGAGTGAAACTGGCTAGCTACCAGCCAGTACTACCGATGGCTACATGTAGTTCCTGTCGCGTCTTTGCTTCCCGCCACCTGTGCTTTCGACAGCAGCGATACACCAGCACAGAATGGTTTGAATTTTCTAAAGCCTCGGAGAAGGAGGAATCATCATTGAGAATCTGAGGTATTCTAGAGACTTGGGCACCAGCTTGCGCGAGATCTTTGTACAGCACTGCATTGCCTGCAGCTGCGAATTGACACCAACTCTTGAAGCAAGACCATCATCACGACCACAACCAGAGAAACTTGTGCATCACCATCGACCCACTCGCTACAGTAATCATTCTAGCTAAGTCTAGACCTACGTCTGAGCAATGGTTACAGCAGGTGTTGCAGTGTTGGTCATCAGCGTTCCAGCACCTTCTGCACTCACTTCCGAAGTCCAAAGCGGCATACAGAATGCAGAAATCGCTGGAGGTTATATTTACAGATTGAAGAGGTTCTACCGGTACAATAAAAGCGATTATTATACAGTTCTCGAATTACTGACTCAGTTTCTTTTTCATTCGTCTCTGTACTAAATCCTTCAATGCAAAGGGGTTCTTTCTGTTGACTCGAATTCGGTTTTGCTTCAATTAAGTTTTAAGCAATATCTTCGAAGAGTCACTGTTCCTGCAACAGCTCAGAAAGCATCGATGATGAGGCTGAGGTGGCCACAATTTGCGCCACGATCCTGTGTTTCACCACTGGCTGACTGAGGTGGTTCAATGCTACTGTAGTTACTAGCTAGATCATGATGCTCGCTAGAACCTGATAACCTGATGTGTTTGCTCACCGGTATATGGATTGGTCTTGCTTATCTCAACAAAAGCGCAGAGCAAGCAGCAATGACCGTTCCTGCTCAAAACCTGCTCAAACTTTAAATCAACCCGAGAACTGCTCACAACTTTCAAATCCCATCAAAAGCAAAAGTAACCAAGAGTCTCAACACGACTTTACCCCAAACCTACCAGATACTCAAAACCTACCGTACAACACAATGATCCCCTCTACTTCCAACGACACCGCCCCCCTCCTCCTTCAGGAAGAAGAGCTCCTCAAGTACCACGATACCGACGATGACAGTACAACGACTACCAGTTCTGGTAGCAGCTACTACGACAGCGACGACAGCAGCAGCTGGGATAGTGAGGAAGACGACGAGGAACTCGTGAATGAAATCACGCAGCAACTGAGCCTCAAGAATCTTCACCTGATCCTCGACACGGCCAATACCGGTACCGGTACTGCCAAGTCCACGAGCAGCAGCGCCGACAATGCTGCTGCTCCCACCCTCAATGGCTCCGTGATGCAAGACATTCAAACACGCATGAACCAGATGAAGCACGGAGCCGTCTACATTCAGTCCACGGCCAGTGCTACCGGCATTGCCGGCATGGCAGCCGGCAGTGTGGCTCCCACCAGTACTCCTCAAGGTCGACTCGAAGAAATGCTCAAGGACATTCGCTGCCCGCAAAAGTCGTACTCCAAGGACCAGTGGAGCAAGCACTTTTTGCCCGTGACACAAGATCGTGTCGATGCCTACTCTCTCGAGCTCTCCAAGCAAGTCCGGGCCGTCAACCTCTCGTATCTTCGTGCTCCTCGTGCGTACAATTGGGACGCCTGCAATCGTCAAGGCGAATCGTTGATTCACTTAGCCGCACGACGAAGCAACCTCGAGTTGGTCGAGTTCTTGTTGCACAAGGACGCCGTTCTCATGGTTCGCGATGATTACGGCAAGACACCCCTCCACGAAGCCTGTTGGAGCAAGCAACCCAACTTTGAGATCATTCAGTGGATCCTCACCAAGGCACCGGCATTGGTCTTTTGCAGGGATGCCAGAGGTTTCGCTCCCCTCGATTACGTGCCTCGTGAATGCTACTCCGCGTGGACGGAATTCCTCGAGAGCCAAAAGGTGTCCCTCCGATTGAATGTGCAGTTGATGGCCTTGTAAATAAGCATGCAAACGAGGCCCGCAAGTTTTCTCGCATACCCCTTTTGGTTTCCACGGAACATATTGCATAGAGCGGACGATATCGAGCCGCAACAACGTATATACCACAAACGAATACAGCACTGCATGTTCATTTCTACAGCTGCTACGAATTGATTATAAACTCTTACAAAATAAATAGACTTGTTACAAAAAACAACCATGTGTCAAACTCTAGCTAGCTAGCTAGCTAGCTAGCTAGCTACAGCTTGCAAAACATAGACTCGTGTTGCTTTTTCGCACGGTGCCTGCCTCGAATCGAGGTGCGAAGTGACCTGCACAAGCGACTGCGACTCCTCTCTATTCCAGGCTCGGACCACCAAGACGAGAGGACCAACAGCTCAAAACCAAACATGCCGATTACAGCCACAGCCTTGCACTTTTGCATGGATGGTCGCAGCAACTAGGTCAATGCCACCAGACTCGACTGTCTATTTTCTGAATTCGTTCGAGTGGAACACAGACTGAAGTAACAGTAACAAGCTCAGGTGAGCTCTCAGGTGCTGCTGGCCGCATGGAAAAAACACAAACTAAAATGTCCAAGAATTACTTTTAACATCGGTTTCACTGACGATCTGCTATGAGCTGGTTCTTCTTGTACTGCAGCACAAAAATAGCCACCAAAGAACAGCCAAACAGAAGTTGTAGCAACCGGATTTGAGCTACCAGGTTGGATTCATCTTGCTTTTCACCACCTTGGCTTGAGATGGTGACCTTGTTGTGGTTACCATTCCGACGCTCACGAATGGGCAATCTCTCGCCAACTCCTTGGTCAAAAACATGGTCCAGAATCTCATCTAGCTTGTGATGAAGGTTGGTTATTTGGATCTCCGTCTGTGCTGCTGTCGCTGCCAGCTGCTCCTTCATTCCATTCTCAAGTCTGATAATGTGCTCTCGTTGCTGCAAGGCTTGCTCCCGTTGTTTCAAACTGTGGTCATCGATGCCTTCTCTTACGGCCATGATCAGCTCCTCCTCAATCGAGGGAGGGGCATCCAATGAGTAGCGCTGTACATCAGATTCATGGAGGATCAATTCCAGATCACTCACACTGAACTCATAGTCAATAGAATTGCCGCTAAAGTCTACCAATAGTTCAGGGACTGAATCATTGAAACTTGCCAACCTTCGACCATCCAATGCTAGATTGGCTTCTCTAGACAACTGTGCCAAGGCATAGAATGCCCCCAGTGGAGTGTGGTCATAGCTGACCACCTCTGAATCAGTCCGTTCTCCCAGCTGGCGGCCAAAGTTAGGAGTCGCTGGAGCCATCTTAACCCGAACCATCGTCTGATTTGCAGACTCACACCGAACATCCAAGATCTCCAGGCGAGTTGGATCAGCCAAGTTCAACAATTGCGTGATCTTCACCTTGGCATCAGCGTGGTTGATGGTGGTGCTATTGCATGGTCCACTTCCCAGTGTCATGTCAAAAGCTGAGCCTGTCTTGTTGACATCCAGATTTGCAAATGTCTTTTTGAACTCAATGGCTGCTGTAATGTTGTTTCCTTGCAGGTCTTGGACACCTGTTACAGATACTCTCATTTCACGACCCATCAGCACATTGTAGCCCATAAGCTCATCGAACAGGAATCCAAGCTTCCGTTCTTTGCAGTCAATGTTCAAATCGTTTGAGAATTTGGCTTCGAAATTGAACGATGGAACAAAGAAACACATACGAAGTGAGAAACAAGAATTTTCGTCTCAGCGCATACACCTGTCCAAGACATACTGTATTTTGCATCTTGAGTCCCAGTGCCATCCTTGATGCCAGCCACCTGAACAACCAGGTCAAACCTCAAAGGTAATTCACATACGATAGGCTCAGTAAAGATGATCGAAACTTCTTCTCCTGGGACCACAACATCTCGAACTGGCAGCATTCCGTACACCTTGGGAGCTGTTCGATCAACAACAATCAACACTGGCTCTGTTGTCGTCTTCTTGAAGCCGTCAGGAGCCTTGGGGAAATCCTGGCATCTGTTTCAGAACAGAAACGGTTGAAGAAAAGTACAAAACAGTGAGAAAAGCTAGCAAATATCAGTCAGCACAACCATTACCAGTACCACTCGTTGATACTTGCCGTGTTTCAACAACGACCTCGTAACGGCCATCTGAATCTGTGTCAGGAATGTGAACATTTTGGAAGTTCCAGTTGATCGTTGCGTAGCCATAGTCATCCTCTTGCCCAGCAGCAGCAGGAATTGCCGTAAAGTTGGCTATCTGTTGCTTTGACACATCCAAATAGGCGGGGCCATAGTCATACTCGCCCTCGCCAAGTTTTCTGACATAAGGAATGACTTCTTGAAGTCTTGTCTCCTTCACTAGACTTGCCAGATCTCCTTCCACCTTCTTGGGGTTGCGAATGATGAGTGGAATTGGATCCCTTTGGTTAGCAATGTTCACAACAACCTTCTTTTCTCGCTCCAAAGCTCCGGCCCACTCCATCACTGGACATGGCTCTGCAAACTTGATACATGGATTTCCATTGCCACAGACGTCGTTATGTAGCAACACGGTCTTGGCCTCTGACCCAATGCCATCCCAGTCTGCTTGCATTTGAATCAGTGTCGGAGTAAACTGGTATCCTCGACTTGGCCTCCAAATCTCTATTGTTACCACACGGACCCCGTTGAACGGGCCAAAGTCATGGGCGACTGCCAGATCATTGCCTGTTGGAGATGCACATGATATTTTACAAGCGTTAGTTGACTAGACAAGATTCAAAAGTAGTCGGACGAGTGCTGCTCGAGCTAAACTTACCTCCCAACTTGTGTGTTAGGCCGTCAGGGTTGGTGGTGTGGTCGAGGAAGACCACAAAAGCACTTGTTCGGTCATTCACGTTGTTAGCGATTGTGAGAGTGAAAATCATTGGCTCATCTGGTAGCACAGGCTTGTTGGGCCTCTGAACGACTCTGAGATCGATAACCTCTCCCCGTGCCGTGGGTGGACCTTCCCACTAACAAGGCAAGACAAAGGATCGAGCAAGACAGCAACAAATGACATCAAACCTTTTAGTAGCATGCCTAGCTGATTCACCAGCATTGTGAAAATTCAAAAACAGCCGGAGAAAACTTACAGGAGCACTGGTGGTTCCGGCAACGGTTCTGAAGATGACTGCGGTCAAAGAAACAGGACAACAGTGTAAGTCACAGGTTTCATAATCGATGGAGATCCTTCCAGGTAGCTTTACTCACAAGTGCCAAATTTGGGGTCGATGACTGCAGCGCACAGAAAAAGAGACAACAGCGTGAGTCACAGGCTTTCTCTCCATGGAGATCCCTCCAGGCTTCTAGGAATTTTACTCACAGATGTCCAACACAAAGTCATCATCCTTGTCTAAATCACCAAGCACAAAGGAAACAGTAGTCTCTCTTTCTTCTCCATCGGTGTCCATAAACACTTGCGACCTTGTTGTCACATGTGTCAACTCAAAACTGCAGGCAGCAAGGAAAAAGAGCAGGTATGAGAACAAACCTGAATTACCTTCCACCAAAGGCACAGCAAAGACTTGACTGTGTGTTCTAATCTCAGCACTTACCCGCCACCAATCATAATTCCAGGACCACCAGACATGTCAAAGCTAAGGGTTCCTCCAAAAGTGCTTTCTTCATTGTCCTCGCCTGTGCTCAGCTGGCTCAGCTCAGTAATACCGGCATGGCCCATTGTAAATTCCATTGTGCCTCCACCGCCACTGAACTGAAGCCTGTTGGTCTCCGTCAGGTCCTTCTTGCCACTTTGCGACCCGGGCTTGACATACGGAGCATTCTTCACTGCGGTTGCTCTTTCTGTTAGTGTTTCAGGAGTCAATTTTGCCCAATGTGCTCCTGGTGCAATGGCAGGCTTCATGGCATTCAGGTGACTATACTCAGCCATGTTGGCAAAGTCAACAAAGAAGTTTCCAGTCATTGGAGGAGGATCAACATCAAAGATTTTATCTTTCTTTGCAGCCCATTTGTCAAACCATTCACGGGCTGGAATGAGTTGGTTCTCTGCCATGTTGTTTGTGGCATCATATGCTATCATGGAGCTATTCCAACTCTTCAGTGCATAATCCAAGGTATCATATTGAGACTTGAGCTTGGTCTTGTTCTGTGAATCTGTTTCATTCCCCCACCTGTAAAGGTATTCCAGAGCCTTGGTCTCCAGGGTCGGAAGCACATGAGTTTCCAGGTAGTAGACACTGAAGAAAGAAACAGCAGGCTTGTTCTTCTTGTCTTCCAGATTAAATTTCGTTGAGGTGGTCACATTGGTCGAGCAACTTTCAGAATGCCACTGGAAATTCAAAGTCTCAGAGAACAAAACATTCAAATTAGGCACCACAAACACATCAGATTTGCGTCCAGCAAGCATTGGATCGTCGCTTGTTGCGTAGCTAAAGGGTTAGTGAGGGAAATGGGAAATCGTTGTGAGCAATATATTTCAGCAAGATGTCAAACAGAGTGTAACTAGCTATCTGATCTGAACCTACCTCCAGGTGGTTGTATACTCTGCAGTAAAAACATCTTCCCTGTGCATCTGATAGGTCACATCATCGCTGTCCAACCCACCACCAATGCCATCACCCGACAAGCTAAAAGTTTTAAGACAAATTTCGATCCCGAAGCCAGCACAACTTTCGGCGTCAATGTCGGCTCCAATGTGTAGTCGAGAGTTGTGTGAAAGGTCCTCCAGCCGCTCAAATTCTGCTGATTTCACCCGCATGGCTTCAGTATAAGGATGGAAGAGATGAGTGTGAGTGAGGCTCAATGGATCAAAACCAAGAATACAAAAGCACCACAAACACCACATACTCGTCTGCACATTCTCATAGGATGCCTGTGAAAGCCCCCCTGGGGGATCCCGTAGAATCAGAATTGGTTCATAGGTTGGAAGAGCAAAGGATTTTCCTTCTCCCAATTTGTAGTCACCTGTTACAACCATCTCAGCGACATGAGTCAAGATGCGTACACCCTGCTTGGTCACCTTGACTTTGAATGTCTTGCGGTCTGGTCGGGAAAGAAAGAAGAGAACCAGGTCAGACAAAAGTACAGTCAAAGTGATCCAGAGACTTGCTTCTCTACGCTGATACTTACAAGGAGAGTCAACCCTGGCACATTGGAAAAGAGAATGATGAACAGTTTAGACTTCATCGTAGAAAACTATTGAAGAACCGAAGCTGTACATACCTCGGGCGCCCAACCACAAACTTGATTTTGTTTCCCTTTGAATCCTTGGGAGTCACACGTGCATTCGATTTTACCTCATTGGTGTTGGTATGATCAACCTTGTACTTGCAAGTGTTTTGAGGACCGCAAATCTCATACTGTTTGATTTCATCTTCCTTGAGACTCTTCTTGTAGTCTGCCCACTTGGCATCAATTCCCACAGTGTTCTCAAATTCAACCTCGATATCGTCGCCAACAACATCACAGTACATGTCCGTCATTAGCTTGTATCTGAGAGTCACAACAGGCTAGGCAGATACAAATGTATAAAGTTGAGCCAATATGGAACCTAGTGACAACAACTCACAACACCATTTCAACAGATTATCATAGCAACCAGACCTTGACCTACCCTGAAGTATGAACCTGTTGGCGTGATGTGGAGAGAGTAGGTAGTACCAGCTTGCTTCTTCACCAAAGCCTCCGGCCATACATTGTCTGCAGGACACTGTTTGGGGTTGCGCAAGTCCACTCCGCCAAATGTGAATGCACTTTCCAATGTACCATCATACTGGGAGTTGCCAGAAGAGGCAACATGTGAGCGGCGTGGTGATGGTGGAGTAGTTTGAAAAAGTTAAACCCCTTAACATACCTGAAAGCGAAGCTCGGGGACAAGCTTCTTTGGAGCGTCTGGCTCAGCCTCTCCTACTGCTGATTCATCCTTGGGTGCAGCCTTTTTGTCCTTTTCTTCTAGCTCCTTTGCCACTTCCTCACGAAGATCAACGGCCTTGGTCTGAGTCTTGTCCAAAAAGTGCTTGGTGATGTCATGTAGCTTCTGTGGTGGTTTCTCCTTGTTTCTATCGTCTCTTATTTCAAGAACTCGGACATCTAGTACATGGGCTGGGAGCGAATGTTGTTGCTTCCACTGACCTTGCAGTAACACGATCGGAGGCTGTGAGTCACACACATCCACTTCAATCTTGCTTCTGCCCAACCGTAATTCACACTCTCCTCCGGCGATCTCGACAAAGAGGGGTGCCTTCTGAATGTCGACAAAGTCATTTCCAACATAACGCCTCTTGGGGTCAATGAACATTCCCTTCTCATAATCCAGAACATTATCTGGAGCCCTCACAATCATATGCTCAAAGTAGGCTACTTTAACTCCAACCTGGGTGGACAGAAAATGTAACTGAGAAGCGAACGCCAATGGCCAAACAAAAAGCAAAATTTCCCAGCATACTACTCACTGTGGTCCCAATGGTAGCTGGCAGATTGAAGTTTCCAGCACCATCAGTCTTAACACAGGCCCCCTGGACATCGGGGAAATTTGGTCGTTTCTGTGCCACACAAACATCTGCCCCAATCAATGGGCAGCCACCATATTCCATGATTGATACTCTTCCTTTGATAGGCACAGACGTCTTGTCCCGGGCCTCGAAGGGTTCATCGAACTCAAGATGCTTCAGATCGACAACGACGCCATCCTCTCCTGAGCAATCAACAGTCCCATCTTCACAAACAAATTCATGGACAATCGGATCACTCCCAGCCAATTCAGTCTTCTTGTCAAATGTGATGCGAATCGGAAAAGCATTTTCACGATTGAGAAACTTGTTGATGCTGTCATCCACATCAAACTCCATCTTGAATTTCCCTGGCTTCTTTGTTGTGGCAGTGCCTTCATGAAGGACAACAGTTTGCTCCATGTTCATCAACTGCCAGGATATTTTGACGTCCTCGACAGGCACCTTTCCTTGGTCTGTAACAATTCGCCCTTTGATTGATGCTTGCCACCTTACAAAGTGGATCTTTTGGATTTTCAGGCAAGAGAAAAATCAAGAGAAACCATGGAGATGGCAGGTGAGAATTGCTTGGCAGCCAATATCCATTCTCAATCCATCATATCTGGGGAATTCATACCTTGCAGGCATCATCACTGGAATGTGGAGAGTCAGCCGCATAGCGCTCTGCGACAGCCCTGATGCAGTATCTGTAGGGCTCTGATACCTGCAGCCTTGAGAACTTGAGATCATCAGCAGCATTGGTTCCTGGCTTGACTGGAGACTTTGTGCACTTTTCCTGTAAAGCGCCAATGATCCAGGATTAGTCACTGTGACCACAATTTTGCAAACAAGATTTGATAAACGTTAAAAGGTCGTACCTTTGCAAACGTGGCGAAGTTCGGAGTGAAGGTCTGCTTAAGACTCGCATCTGCCTTCACAAACTCTCCAGCACCCACTTCCGTCCTAGTGAATGCATAAGCTTCTGAACATCGTGAATTATCCACGAATTCAAACGTAACCACACCAAGGACTTGATGGATCCTGATATCGATCGGCCTTCCGGTGGTGTCATCGTGCTGTGTGGACACTTCACAGTCACAGCAACAGTAGGTCACTTGGTGGGCATTTTCGAAGAACACATCGCTAGTATTTGAAAAATCACGGATTGTGTACTGATACTTTGTTCCAGGGCGCAGACCACTAAAGGTCGTCTTATAAATATCCTTGGCAGGATCCAATGCAACCACATTCTGCACCGTCGAGTCCCATTTCTTCACTACTTCTGGTGCTTTGTCCGGGTCCTTTTAGAAGTACATGACAGGTGTGAAACGAGCAGAACGGTGAGGTTTGTACAAACTCTGCCATTCAAGATACCGCTCAAGTCTATGTATACTTACGTCGGTGTCATATCGAAGCATCTTGACATTGACCCTGGACAAGCCTCTCTTCTTTATCACCACATCAAAAGAATCAAAGGAGACCTCATTTTGACTGTCTGCATCTTCAGCGAGGATACATGTGTTCCCAGAACCCGATGAAACAGCATTTGCACCGTATTTGCTGCCAACGTATCCCTTCTTACACTTGCAAGCTGAATAATCGGCAGCACATGTGGCGTGGTTTACTTCATCCGGGCAGACAGAACTGAATTAATGCACAAAAGAATTGGCATGGAGTGTGAGTTAACTTTGATTGCATGGTCATAAACACCCTTCGCACTACTTACGGTTTGTAGTAGCAGGTATCCATTTGCTGACATCCTGTGCCTGTTTTGATAGGTTCCTCTCCACAGCCACAGAAGTGGGGATTGCTCCAGGCGAGGTAAGGAAATTTGGCTGCGGTTCCAAGATCTTCTCTAGAGTTTACGAGATCCCTCCGTAGTGTTGACGAAGTTCTTGCACTGGCAGCAATGACCGACTTGTAATTCCTAATCTCGTCATGCTTAGAGCACCTGTCAATATAACATTTATGAGACTTCAGATCACCATGCAAGAAAGAGTTGGAAGAGTTAGGCGAACTTACTCGAAAAGGAAGACAAAGTCGGCTCCTGGAAACCAATTATACCGGTAATGCCCATTCATCTGGTTGTAGGCCTGATGGGTGTTCACATTTCCCTGAACAGGCATGTATTTCAATGTCAGTGGATTTGACAGTCCAAAAATGTCAGTTCCAAGGCAATGTGGAGTCCCGTATCTCCTTGATGCACCTAGATGTTTGTAGCCAGTAAACCCAGTAATGGGGTCCTTGTAGAGCTCGACAGCAGTGTTTTCCCAGTTATTGTGTGCATGCAATGAATCGCTGTAGAGTGCCTTGTGCTCATCATGGAAATCACATGGCTTGAGTTGGGCGTAAGGAACCACAAAGTCCCTCTCATCATCTGACAACAAAATAGGAAGGCATGTTCAGAAGCAGCAGACTTGATGAGGTGATACAACAACATCATTCGCAATTCAGTCTATCCACATACCCGGCCACATGGAGATCTTGTCACTGCAATACGGCCAGACACCATATTGTGTACATGATTTCCACAACATGTAGAGGTTTCCGTGCCACCCGTAGGTATGAGTTCCTGGAAGAAAAAACAAAAAGCAAGATCTTCAGAACACACACCAATGTAGAACAGCCAAACCAACGTGTGGCTCAATCAGTGGGCTTACCGGGAAGAATTACAAGGTCAGGCCAGTAATTGTATGTCATCTCGCTCTGTAAGCCGACCAAAAGACGGTAAATTGTCAGCATGTCTCGCCAGTGCAATCATAGAGGAACCCAATACCTCACACAAACGTACATAGTGTAGTACTCCATTCCATTGGTGGCTCCATTGGAGGCCATACCACCAAGGCAATGAAACGACTAATTTTTCTTTTACACATCGCATATAATCTTGGGTTGGATGACGATAGTGTGGCCAGTCAGCCCAAACATTTCCGAGAGCCACATAGCCATTGGGACAAATAGGGAACCACACAACACACCAAAAGATTCCATGGGCCCAACATTCAGCATAGGGGATGTAGGCAATGGGAGCTGCAAGGGAATCGCCGCCACCCTTGGCCACAGCCATTGCTTTAGATCTTGCAAAGTCAGTATTAATGCCATCACCAAGCCTGTGAAGAATCAGAAACAAAACAGCAAAATCTTGAGAACACACACCAAGGTAGAGGATCCGATCAAACCTGTGTCTCAATCTGCGAGCTTACCTGAAGTACCCAGGAGGAAGTTCCCTGTCAGAGACTCTCAATACACGGAATCCCCTGTCATGCAATTTCCAATAGACCACATGCTGAAAAGCGATGTGATAAAGAAGAACAAGAAATAAGATTGCACACTGTTTGCTAGGTCAATTTTGCTGTCAGCACTCCAAAGGCAAATCTTACTTCAGTAGCTGATTTTGTCTGTACATCGAGGAAATCCGTCGATTCAATGTTGTAAGCCTGGACTTTGTAGTTGAGCTCAGTTGGGGCATAAGCGTCAAAGTAGGGACACAAAGATGAACGCGCATATGGTGGATTCCCATCATTGTAACGCATGATGGTCTGTGTTGTGGCCCCAAAGTCGGTGGGGGTTTCAATGTTGTCCTTATAGAAACCATTAATCGTTTGCCTTTGACTGCAGATGCTTGTAGCAATCCCCTTAGCTCCCGCCTGTTTCTCACAGAGTCGCCAGTGTAAGTTGGACTATATGCAATAACACAGTCGCAAAGTGGTTGAAATACTTACCGAAACGGCTTCATCATACAACTTGATGTTGCTGAATCGGCTCATCCCTGCCTCGGGATCAGCATCGTTGTCCTGAACCAAGGCAATGTATTTCATGTTGGTGTTGTGCGGCTGTTCTCACAGGGAATAAACAATAATTGTCAATTCTGGCAATAACTCAAAATCATGGTATACGTGCTGCGCCACTTACAAGGTATGACTTTCCTTTGGATGGCCCCTCGGAGACAGATCCAAGCTTGATTTTGTAGTGAAACTGTGAAACAATATTCATTTTAGATTGCTCAGTGTTGAAAATGCAATCAAAAGGGAGAGTTGCTCCTACCTTCGAATTAGGTGCCCTCCAGCTGTCTCTCTTGTCACCCTCCCTCGGAATCTTCCAGGTTTCGAACCATGATGGTTCTCCTTCTGTTCCTGCCAGCATAAAACAACGATGCTGCCCGTCAATTTCAACATCTTCGTTCGTGTCTTCGTCAACACAGATTGCATGGCCCTCGGTCTCATTCCTATGTTCAAAGTCAAATTCCAACACCTGGGTTGAAAAACAATGAAAGTATGAGACATTCAAAATACATCAAATATTCCCAATTCATGTAAGTATATTCTTACAGTGCCCTCGGTAATGGTATATTCGCTGCCCAGTGAAAAAGCTTTCCAGATATTACCAACCAAGAGTAAACTTGCACCTTGATCAAGAACAACATACTTCCCAACACCATCTTGGCCAATTCCATATGGAACAGCTCGTTGCAGCGTCCTAGAACTCTCCTTGATTGTAATTTTGAGTTGCTACCATAGGAGACCCAGAAAATAGCGTGAGTTGTTAGGACAGGAATAGCAAAGTAGAACATTTACCATCATTCACATGACTTACCCCTCCACAAACTTTTTTATCTCCATCTTGATGGCATCTTGATTCCCCAATGCAGTCATCATCTTTAGCGCACACCGCTTCGTTGTACCCTTTGCACTGTTGATAGAAGCAATTGTCAACAGAACGGCATTGTCCAGATTCAGTTGGCTCCTCTTTCTCACCGCAAATGTGTGGTTCTCTCCATGGTGATCTTGCTTTACACGTCATATCCGCATGGTTGCAATGCCTAGCTGCTTCTCCCAGATCCTCATCAATGTTGACAAGGCCACTTTCCACACTTCCATCCATGCTTGCTTCAGCTGCGGCATCAGAAAGCTTCTTCTTCATCTCTACCACTGGGTTTGTTTCAGAGCAGGGGAAAAGAAAGACGAAATCGCCCGCAATCTTGGTTGACAAGGATTTGCCATTTATCCCTTCGGTGATGTTCTTGACACTTTCCTCGATGATACGGCCTTCTGCTGGGATGTCTGTCATGAACAAATCATTCTTGAAAGTGGAATTGCCAAATGCAGAAGAGCCCAAACAAAACGGCTTTCCAAGTCTTTCTGATGCCCCAAGGTGTTTCCAACCGACGAATCCAGACTTGTTGTACAATTCAACTGCATAATTTTCCCACTCTTTATCTGGGTTGTCTTGCCGGCCATAGATCCGTTTGTCTTCTTGCTGGAAGCCACATGGTTGAAGCTTGGCATATGGGACATCAATCTTGGTTTGGTTTGCAACTTCTACTTTCCACGGAGTGCCAGGCTGGGCACAGAATGGTACGGAACCATGGCCCACAATACACTCCTTCCTCCTGAAGATTGAAGGCAATCAATTCGGAATTGTCAGCTTTGCTCTAAATAGACAACAGGGTGCTCATTATGAACATGAATCTTACAGTGCATAAAACTCTTCCAAAGGCGCATCGCAAGCCTCACAAGCCCTGGAAATGAACGTGCCCGGCGAGATGGTTGTTTTCGTCTGTGTGGCCTCCCATCTGGCAAGCATCATTGGTCAGATTCCGAGAGTTGCCGGCCATCACACAATGGTAAAATTGTACTTACAACGTCAGCTCATCAAAGTCAAAATTTGATTGGCTGTCCCACTGATACTTTGGGTCCTTCACTCCCTCTACATACATTGTCTGGATACATCGGACAAGATCAGTGGGTGGCTCAGTGTTGTCAATGGTCCAAACATGCCCCAGGCATGTGTATCCTGTCATGGAACACATGAGGAATCATTAAGCTGTGAGCAACGAAAGAAATCAATGAAGGCGCACATAATCTTCAAACGTACCAGGCGGAGGAATGGGTCTCCAAAGGGAAGGTGGTGTAACATGTGGAGCACTAGATGGGAGAGAGGAAACGCTGTCAGTAGCATTGTTGGTGTTGAGTTGTCTTGTAGATACAATGGGGAAGCTTGTTGGTGGTGCTATGGTGTTGGAACTGAAATCACCTCTGAGATACCGTGCCGCAATCTTGGGTGCTGGCGCTGGTGCTGGTGCTGCATTCAAATCAATGACCTCAATATCACTGTACAACTCTTCGGTGTTGTATGACTTGAAGCCAAAGAAAGGCCGTTCACCCGGTGTTGTGTCAGGAAGAGACACATTGATGAACTTGGAGGTCGTGTTGGAGGGATCTCGACCAGTTCCCATCTCAAACAAGAGCCCTCCTGATTTTGCCAGAGAGCACACCCAAAAGTCCTTCAGTGTCCCATCCAGAAATGATGGCTTGTAGTTGGCGGAACTGGTGTCGTTGTGGACAATGACATTCAGAAAATTACCGTTTGTAATGAACCACGAATTTGCTCCCGATCTTGTCCCCAACTCAACCCACAACCAGTCCAAGGTAGGATCTTGCACAGGGTCTGCTCTAGATGACAAGCCGAAAGATTGGTTCATTTTAGCCTATAGAGATACAGCAGCAAATTCATAAGTCAAAAGTGTGAGTGAGAGAGTGCATCTGGTTTCGACAACATCAGGACATCACACAGCAAAGGAACATACTTTGGTCTTGAATGCCACACATCCTTTTGAACTATCGGGAAGATGTTCTGGAAACATGTGGAACTTGTTGTCTGGAGCAACCACCAGTTTACTTGGTGGAGCTCCACCAGATTTGCACACAACATAATTTGACTCATAAGATTGCTTCATGTTTCCGTCAACCCCCCAATTGGGATCCACTCCCCCATGAGTGTCTCTGTGAAGGGCACAAGTCGGAGCCTGCCATGGATGTTTTCCCACTTGGATCCACGCATTGTGGTAATCCATGACGGGTGTCCATTGATCACCAATCTGTTTCCCAAAGTAGGGATCTTCACTTGCACCCAAGGGACATATATCAGAGCTGGAAGCTAGGGATCCTCCTTTAGCTACACAGAATTGTTTCGCTTGGTCATAGGACTTGATATTGGAGGTTTCAGAGGGGCCATAAACATCCATCCTCGTGTTGCAAACTATGTAGTTTGCACCATCCCAGAGTCCACTGACACCCCAGCCAGGAGCATGGCCAAAGTATTCGATGACACGCTGGCAGGTTAAGGAGAGGCCGTACGGTTGGACCCCTACCTGCACCCACGCATTGATATCATCTGAGACAGGTGTCCACTGATCGCCAGACTGAACTCCAAAGTAGGGCTCATCTGCTTCAAAATAGTGCCAGAGATTGTTGGTGGAATCAACCAGTAAAAACTCTCTGGAATTCACAGCAGCAATGTTAACACCTGACTGGCCCTGGACTGGTTGGGCCCAACTTATGTCAGCTGTAAAGGCAGTTGACCTAATCGCCAATCCAGGACCTGTGTGGTTTTTGTCAACTCCTGTTGTCCATACGGTTCCATCAGCAGCTACACTGATATCTCCACCATTGCAACTGATATCTCCACCTGTGGCTTTCCATCCGGCATCACCATGGGCCCAAATTGAGTCTTTGTTACAGAGTACCACCTTGTTCCCAACGAGAGCGGAAATTCGGTCTCCACCTCCGCCAAACCTCACAAAAGAACCATCTGATGGGCGCTTGCGCCACATATCGCCATGGTCTAACCCAGCCACCAATTCTGTCATCCAAATTGTTCCATCCTTGGTGATACTAATGTCACGAGCAGGAGGACTGTGCATAAACACCCAACCATTGGGGGTCCATTGATGAATTTGTCCAGCGTAGTTCAGCTTTGTCGGACATCAGTCAAAAGAAGCAGAACAATGCATAAATGAGACAAGAGGTCACCAAATCAAAAACCAAAGACTTCAGTCAGCTGTATTCTCACAATAACAATATGGTCTTTGCTCCCAACTGAAATTCTGTGGGAACATCCACCAACTCCAACCCAGGAATCGCCACCAGTAAGACGGAAGATGGAATAGCAACCATTGCCATGGTCATGGGTTCCAATCTGACATGGTTAAGAAGAGTAATGAATAGCAATCAATGATGAAGAAGACGTGCAATGTGCTAAGGACTTTCCAAGAACAACACTTACCGCCCAGATGGTCCCATCATCTGCTGCACCAACATCCGTTGCTTTCATTCCACCATATTTTTTCCAATTTTGCTTCAGAGAACCAGCAGAGGGGCAGATTTCAGCACTGGAAGCAAGATACCCTCCTTTTGCTTTGCAGAACTGTTGTGCTTGACTATCAAAAGTGTGAGTGAGAGAGTGTATCTGTTTTTGATTACATGAGGACATCACGCAGCAAAGGAACTTACTTATACGTTTTGACACCGGCACTTTCGCTTCGCCCAAAAACAACCCTGTTCAAATCACAAACAATGTAGTTCGGCTCTGAGGTCACATCAGCTTTTTTGGTACAAACAGGTGATTGGTTATCACTTCCAATTTCAATCCAACCATTGTGATAGTCATCAAAGGGAACAAAGTGACTTCCGCCACTCAGCGCTCCAAGTTTCGGCTCAATCTTGGTGGGTATCTCATAGTGCCAGAGCCTGTTGCTGGCATCAACCATCAGAAACTTATTCTCGCTAACAGCAGCGATGTTGCGGCCAGACCTACCCTGTACAGGGGCTTCCCAAGCTGTAGCAGTTGAAGTGGAGGTAAGTGATCGGCGAGGTAGGCCTGGACTTGTTTGACCACTTCCAACTCCAGTTGTCCAGATGGTTCCATCAGCAGCGAAACTGATGTCGCCGTTGTTGCAACTTCCTGCAATATAATAGTGGGAACCACCATTAACCCAAAGTAAATCTCCTGCTCCGGTGGTACAGACAGCAACCACATCAGGGCCAGCAGCAGCAATGCGGTCTCCCCCTCCTCCAAGGTAGCCCCTGAAGGCAACATCATTTGGTAGTTTGCGATCCACAAGACCCCAAGGCTGACCCACTCCAATCTCCGTCAACCAAATAGTTCCATCCCTGGTGATACTAATGTCACGAGCAGGAGGACTCTCCACAAAAACCCAACCACGTGGTGTCCATTGATGAATGTGTCCATGGAAGTTCAGCACCTGAAATAAAAAGTACAACAATGCATATGAGGCAGAGGTAACCAAATGTAAAACATCATACTTCGGTAAACTGTTTTCTCACAATGATGTTCGTACTGCTTCCAACTGAAATTCTGTGTGAACATCCGCCTACTTCCTCCCAGGAATCTCCACCTGTGTGCCGGTGAATGCTGTAGCAGCCTTTGCCAGGAATGTAGTCGTGGGTGCCAATCTGCATCAACACACACAAAGGAGCATCAAAGATGGTCAGCCATTGCATCAAGAAACCATTGAGCCAATTTTGCAAATGCTTCTCTTACCGCCCAAATGGTACCATCCTCTGCAGCACCCACGTCGCGAACACTAACACCACGGTACTTGTACCAGCCCTTAGGATGCGGAGAACAGAACACGTAATTTCCCCACCCATGATGACGGCCCTGTCCAGTGATCTCGGGAGCCGCGCCACCGTGAAAGGTACAAACAGGGAACCGACCACCACTTCCCACATTTACCCATTGATTCTCGCGTTCGGAAATTGGTGCCCACTGATCAGCGGATGTTGACTGAATCCCAGTGACGGGTGTGGAGTTGGTAGCACCATCAGGAGGACAAATATCCTTGACAGAGGCAAGGGTTCCACCACGGGAATTGCAGAAGTCTTGTGCTGCAGACCACCCAATGGCCAGGCTACTGGTTTCGCTGGGCCCAAACATGTGGATATCCCCCCACTCCTTCCGCCAAAGTTCAGAACCATCTGAGGGACAAATATCAGAACTGGCCGGTAGTGAACCTCCCTTTGCAACACAGAAGTCCCGTGCTTGATCATAGCTCTTGACTCCTGCCGTTTCAGTGGGACCATACACAAATATCTTCATGTTGCAAGGGATATAGTTGGCCTCCCACGCTTTCTTCCCATTTCCATCAAGACCCCAATCAGGATCTCCATATGTGTCCCTGTACAGACTGCACGTCGAAACCACTGGATGCGATCCAACTTGGATCCACCCGTTGTGGTAGTCTGATACAGGTACCCATTGATCACCGTCCTGAATGCCAAAGTAAGGCCAGCTCGAACTAAAATTATGAGACAACACACAACAACAATTATGAGATGGTTGTTTATGGTAGCATCGGGAGTGCATCGAGGTGGATGTTTTAATGGACTGGTGTCTTACCTGCCAGAGGGGCAAATGTCGGTACTGGAAGCAAGCGTTCCTCCCTTCATCTCACAAAACTTCTGTGCTTGATCATAGCTGTTGATAGCTCCAGTTTCTTGTGGCCCAAAAACTTGAGTATTACCAGTCTTGGGAATTCGTAGACCTGGATTCTCATATCGCCATAACTTGTTGTCTGAATCGACCAGCGCAAACTCTACTGCACTCATGGCTGCAATCTTCACACCATAATGTCCTTGAATGGGATCAGCCCATTTGGTTGCAATGGCTGTTGAGATGGTAGACCTGCGGGCCAATCCAGCACTTTCACGACCTTTTTGACCATCTCCCACTCCCGTTGTCCAGATGGTTCCATCTGCAGCAATGCTGATGTCGCCATTATCACAACTCCCAGTGACGTACCAGTGGGAGCCTCCATGACTCCAAAGGAAATCTTTGTTACACAGGGCCGCCTTGTCGGGCCCTGAAGCAGCAATTCGGTCTCCACCTCCACCAAACTTCACAAAAAAATCATCCGACGGGCGCTTGCGCCACACATCGCCATGGTCTAACCCATCCACCAATTCAGTCAAAAAGATCGTCCCATCCTTGGTGATGGTTGCATCGCGCGCAGCAGGGCTTGGGATCAAATCCCAGCCTTGACCACTCCACTTGAAAATGTCGCTGTCCTGAACCACAATTACATTAGTGCTGCTACCAACTGAGATACCAGAGGCACACCCTCTGACTTCCTCCCAGGTGTCTCCTTCTAGTTTGCGGTGGATGGTGTAGCAATCATTCATAACCGTAAAGTTCGAAATCTGATTAAAGCACGGAACAGGGGAAGCGTTAGACATTCACACATAAACAGAAATGAAATTTCAAGCAACTCACCACCCAGATAGTGCCATCATATGCAGCACCCACATCTCGAACTGTCACCCCTTTGTACTCATGCCACAAGATCGGCTTCTGTGTTGCTACTTCTCCCGTGTTTACCGTCCCATTTCCAGACATCAAATCTGTGTTGGTTTCACTGGTTCCGCCACTGCTCAGTCCTACTCCTTCAGCTTGTTTTTCAGCTCCGATTGATGCATTGAAGATGTTCTGATAGTAGAGGGGTTTCTTCAGAGCAGAACCACTTCCTTTTACCAATAGAGCTTGCTTGTGATGGACCAAAACAGATGTGCCATTCTCTGTTGTGCTCACTTTTCCATCCCATATGATGTCACCAATAGAAAAGTATCCACTGCCAGGCTTTGGTCTCATGATTCGAAGGTCATCAGAAGCATACATTTCCTCAAGATTTGTAGTGTACTTGACCTCAAGCGAACCTTCCTCTGGGTACATCTTGTAGTATGCCAGTTTGTAGGGAAAATTGTAACCATCTTCCGAGTAGGCACATAAATTCCTTTGTTTGCCATCAGGATATTTGTACCGAGCAATGCTTCGGCTTATTCTTCCATGCAGGTGGTGATCTGGGATGCTGAAGAGTTTGTTGATCTTTTCCCGTCGCTCAAATACAGCCTTGGCCACAGTAACGTCAGTACTTGTTGCCTCTCTGTGTTTGTGAAACCACGAAGTACAAACAATGTAATTCGATTCAAATGCTTTCTTGTCATTGCTGGTGCCCCAAATAGGATCAACTCCACCATGTATGTCTCGGTGAAAACTGCAGCTTGGCGCATTGTTGGAGTGTGTTCCCACCTGGACCCACGCATTGTCATAGTCTGAGACCGGTGTCCACTGGTCCCCTGTCTGGATGTCAAAGTAGGGTTTGTTTGACCCATCAGGGGGGCAGACATCAGACCAGGAAGCCAGCAGGAGTTGCCTAGCAGCGCAAAATGTCTTGGCTTGTGCATACGACTTGACATCAGCAGTCACATTGGGTCCATACACGTAGACACCCTCCATCTTGCAAATGACATAGTCTGCTTCTCCTTCCAACTTGTCATCTTCTGCTCCCCACATTGGTCCTAATCCGATTCGAGGGTCACCATACGTTGTTCTGTGTCTGGAACACATATCAGCCACAGCATCACCACCAACTTCAACCCAGCCATTGCGGTAGTCCCCAAATGGAGTCCAGTGGACACCACCAGCAGCACCAAAGTACGGTCTTTTCACAAGAGGAAGTGGGCAGATTTCGTCAAAAGAGGCTAGGATCCCTCCCTTCAAATAACAGAAATGCTTGGCATCATCATAATCAATCACCTTGGAGGTATCTTCAGGTCCAAAAATAAACTTGTCCATGTTGCACAAGATGTAGTTGGATTCCCAGCTCTTCTTGTCACCCTTGATCCCCCAATCAGGATCCACTCCATTGTGTGTGTCTCGATGAAAACTGCAAGCTGGCGCTCCCCCGGGCTGGGTTCCCACCTGAATCCATGCATTTTCATAGTCAGAAACTGGAGTCCACTGGTCGCTGGACTGGATACCAAAGTAGGGCTTGTCTGCCTCATAATGCCAGAGGTTGAGGTTGGAATCAATAAGAAGGAACTCTCTGGCACTCACAGCAGCAATGTTCCCACCGTCATCAATGATCACACCAGAGTGGCCTTGGACAGGAGGACTCCAGGATGTATGATGCGCTGTAAAAGCAGTGGATCTTCGAGGCAAACCAGGACGCGTTTGGCCAGTTCCAACCCCAGTTGTCCAGATGGTACCATCAGAAGCAACGCTCACATCACCTTTATCGCACCTCCCTGTTGAATACCAATGAGCACCACCATGGCTCCACAGATCATTGCCAGCCAATGTGTTACAAAGAACAGCCTTGCCGGCATTTAAACCAGATATTCGCTGTCCTCCGCCTGTCAATGATACAGCATTAGACACTGTAACCACAACTTGGCAAACAAGATTTGACAAGCCTCACCTCCGAACTCTACAAAATCAGCATCTACTGGAGCCTTGCGATAGATCCTGCCAAAGTCCTGTTCAGACACAAATTCTGTCATCCAGATGGTTCCATCCTTAGTAATACTGACATCCCATGCAGGAGGGCTCTGTATATGCACCCAACCATTGGGAGTCCATCCATGGATTTGTCTGTGCCTGTTCAGCTGCCAGAAAAAGAGTACAACAATGCATATTTGAGACAGAGGTCACCATATGTAAAACCAACGACTTCAGTCAACTGTATTCTCACAATAACAATATGGTCTTTGCTCCCAACTGAAATCTTGTGGGAACAGCCACCTATTTCCTCCCATGAATCTCCTCCAGTGTGACGGTGGATGGAATAGCAACCATTGCCATGGTCATGTGTTCCAATCTGCATGAAAGCACCAGGGGCAGGAAGATGGGGGGGGTGAGGATTCAACTCCTCAGTAGATGAAGTTGAATATCAAGCACACGTACCACCCAGATGGTTCCATCATCTGCGGCGCCAACATCTCGAGCCTTGATATTGTGCTTGCTCCAATTATCGATAGTAGGACAGATGTCTGTGCTGAAGGCAAGGGATCCTCCTTTGGACTGGCAGAATTCCTTTGCTTGCTCAAACGTTTTGACATTGGATGTCTGGCTTGGTCCAAACAGGGGGTTGTTTCCTGCTTGACTAGGCATGATCGGGACCTTTACAAAAATAAAAAAAGATGCATAGATGAGTCAAAGGTATCCAAATGTGAAATCAAGAGTGATGTCAACTGTATTCCTAGAAACAAAACAAACCATAACACTTTTGAATAGCATCCCGATTCCCATACCTTATATTGCCAGAGAGTTCCAGCAGTATCAACCATCACAAACATGTCCGCATGAACACCAGCGATTTTGGTACCAGACTTGCCTTGCACAGGCTTGTCCCAAGTTGTAGCTGAGGCACTCATAGAAATTGATCTACGGGGTAATCCAGGGCTTGACTGGCCATGTGGTGTTCCTGTTGTCCAGATGGTTCCATCAGCAGTTATACTGATATCCCCATTATCGCAACTTCCTGTTTGATACCAGTGGGAGCCTCCATTGCTCCAAAGACGATTGCCTGCCAATGTGTTGCAGAGGGCAACCCTGTCACGTCCTGAAGCAGAGATTCGCTCGCCTCCTCCTCCAAATCCTAACAACACAAACTCATCATCTGTTGGAGCCTTGCGATAGATAAGGCCCCAGACCTGTCCAGAAACCAATTGTGCCATAAAGATAATTCCGTCCTTGGTGATACTTGCATCTCTGGCAGGAGGGCTCTTGATCAATTTCCAGCCGTGACCAGTCCATTGGTGAATCTCCCCGTCGGTGGTGGTTACAATGATATTAGTGCGGCTGCCAACTGAAATGCCATTGGCACATCCTCTGACTTCTTCCCAAGTGTCACCTCCAACATATCGATGGATGCTGTAGCAGTCAGTCATTACTTTGTAGTTAGAAATCTGACTCAAGCAGGGATGGAAGAAAGAAGCAAAGGATGAAAACAGCAAGTGGTGTTTAGTTTTCGTAAGCTGGAGAAGAGCTCATACAACAACGCCAACGTGGGTCGGCTTCAGATAGAACAAACGTACCACCCAGATAGTATCATCCTCTGCAGCATCAACGTCTCGAATTGTTTGTTCCACATCTTTAACCTTTATTCCACTGAACTTGTACCAATTGCTTGGGGCACAATAGACATAGTTCCCCCAGCCCAAAGCATGACCGTGGCCTGCGCTTCCACCATGCTTGGTACAAACAGGGTACTGATTACTACTTCCAACATTGACCCATTGACCTTCTCTGTCTCCAATAGGAGCCCATTGGTCACCTTTTGCCGATTGAATCCCGTTGACAGGCTCAGCATTAGATTTCCAAGGAGGACAAATCTGTGCTAGAGAGGCCAAAGTTCCTCCATTAGAATTGCAGAAGTCTTCTGCAGAATTCCATCCTCCATCCAGTGGCTTCGTTTTATGGGGTCCAAACATTTTGATGCTCCCCCACTCTGATTGCCACCGTTGCTCTATTATTGGCCATGATATTGACAAAGGTTGAGCTTGTTGTTATAGTAGCAACTTGTCAATACAGTCTAAGTGTGACAGCTTGACAAGTGGAACTTACCCACGGTGGAAGCAAATGCAGCATAGGTTGGAGCTATCGTTGGATTTTCAGAAGGAACACCAGAGGGAATCAACGATGGGCTGGATGAGGGTAAAGTAGATGGATACGAGCTTGGTTGTGAACTGGGAACAGAGCTCAAACTTGGGACTTGGGATGGCCTGTCTGATGGCTGCATAGAAGGAACATAACTCGGGGATTCACTTGGATCAAAACTAGGCACAACAGAGGGAGATATGGATGGCACGCCACTGGGCAAGGATGATGGGGATGATGATGGCGAAATACTAGGTGTGGAAGAAGGGGAAGAAGAAGGGGCGGGAGAAACAGTGGGTGCAGGAGTTGGTCTTGATGTTGTAAAATCAACATCAGAGGAAGGTATTTCATACAGCCAGAGCGAGTTGCTAGAATCAACCAGTAGAAACTTGTTTGCGTTCACAGCAGCAATGTCTTTTCCAGACCTGCCCTGTGCTGGGGTGTCCCAAGTTGTAGCTGAGACATTCATAGAAATTGATCTATGGGCCAATCCAGGGCTTGACTGACCATGTGGTGTTCCTGTTGTCCAGATGGTTCCATCAGCAGCAACACTGATGTCCCCATTATCGCACGTTCCTGTTGTATACCAATGAGAACCATCATTGCTCCAAAGATGATTGCCAGCCAATGTGTTGCAGAGGGTGACCCTATCGCGTCCTGAAGCAGAGATTCGCTCTCCTCCTCCTCCAAATCCTAACAACGCAAAATCATCATCTGTTGGGGCCTTCCGATAGATGAGGCCCCAGACCTGTCCAGAAACCAATTCTGTCAAAAACATAATTCCCTCTTTGGTGATACTGATATCGCGAGCGGGAGGGCTTTGTATAAGCACCCAACCATTGGGGGTCCATCCATGGATTTGTCCAGCGTAGTTCAGCTTTGTAAGACATAGTTAAAAGCAAAACAATGAATGTATGAGACAGAGGTCGCCAAATCCAAAACCAAAGACTTCAGTCAACTGTAATCTCACAATGACAATATGGTCTCTGCTCCCAACTGAAATTCTGTGGGAACAGCCACCTACTTCCACCCATGAATCCCCACCAGTATGACGGTAGATGGAATAGCATCCATTGCCATGGTCATGTGTTCCAATCTGCATGCAATCAACAGTGGCTGTAAGATGAGAGAAAAGGATTCACCGTGAATCCTCACTAAATCAAGTTGAATATCAAGCACACGTACCACCCAGATGGTTCCATCATCTGCAGCACCAACATCTCGAACTTTCAATCCATTGAACTTGAGCCAACGGCTGGAGCAAACAAGGTAGTTCGCAGCAGGAGCCCATGATCCAGTCAAACCCCAACCGGGGTTCGAATAAGTTCCGCACGTGGGCAAGCCATCAGGCTGCGTACCCACCTGGATCCACTCATTATGGCGGTCAGAGACAGGGGTCCATTGATCCCCAACCGGAATTCCAAAATATGGTAGGCTATGTGCTCCTGATGGGCAGACATCAATACTGGAAGCAAGAGATCCTCCTTTTGCCTTGCAGAAAGCTTGTGCCAAGTCGTAGGTGCTGACAGTAACATTCTTGTTGCGGCCAAAGAGGACTCTGTTTGAGGCACAAATGACAAAATTGGCCTCAAAGGGCTGCTTGTGATTTCCATCAACCCCCCAATTGGGATCCACTCCCCCATGAGTTTCCCGGTGGTAGCTGCAGGTGGGAACACCTGAAGGTTGTTCTCCCACCTGGATCCAGGAGTTGTTGTAATCAGCAACTGGCGTCCACTGATCTCCCAGCTGAGTACCAAAATAGGGTACTACAGAGTTGAGGGGGCAGATGTCCGATCTGGAAGCAAGAGTTCCTCCTTTGGCATTGCAAAAGGCATTCGCTTGGTCATAAGACTTGACGTTGGTGGTGTAACTGGGTCCATAGATGGCTGTTCGCATGTTACAGACGATGTAGTTGGACTCATAACTTTGTTTCATAGTCCCATCAAGACCCCAATCAGGGTCCACTCCATTGTGAGAATCTCTGTGGGACGCACACGTTGAAGCTGAAGAATGAACTCCCACTTGGACCCATGCATTGTGGTAATCAGAAGCTGGAGCCCAGTGATCTCCTGACTGGATTCCAAAGTAGGGTTGCGCAGAACCATCCAAGGGGCAGATATCAGCCACAGAAGCAAGAGATCCTCCCTGTGATTCACAGAAGTCTTGTGCTTGATCATAGCTCTTCACATCGTTGGTATCCGGTGGAACAAACACCCGAGTGATTCCGGTTGCTTCTCTCCTGGCTGGGATCTCATACCTCCAAAGATTCAAATTGGCATCCACCAGATAGACCTTGTTGGCACTGACAGCTGCAATGTTCGTGCCAGTTTGACCAGGAATGGGGGTCGCCCAACTGGTGGAATGGGACAAAATTTTCGTGGATTTACGGATCAGTCCCGGATTTGCCTGGCCATGTGGTGTTCCTGTTGTCCAGATGGTTCCATCAGCAGCGATACTGACATCGCCATTATCACAGCGTCCTGTTGTATACCAGTGAGAGCCTCCATGACTCCAAAGGAAATCTGCGTTACACAGGGCCGCCTTGTTGGACCCCGAAGCAGAAATTCGGTCTCCACCTCCGCCAAACCTCACAAAAGAACTATCTGATGGGCGCTTGCGCAACACATCGCCATGGTTTAACCCAGCCACCAATTCTGTCATCCAAATTGTTCCATCATTGGTGATACTAATGTCACGAGCAGGAGGACTGTGTATAAACACCCAACCATTGGGAGTCCATGCGTGGATTTGTCCAGCGTAGTTCAGCTTTGTCCGGCATAGTTAAGAGAAGCAGAGCAATACATATATGAGACAGAGTTCACCAAGTGTAAATCCAAGATTTCAGTCAACTGCATTCTCACAATAACAATGTAGGCGCTGCTCCCAACTGAAATTCTGTGGGAACATCCTCCTACTTCCACCCAGGAATCGCCACCTGTGTTGCGATGGATGGAATAGCAACCATTGCCATGGTCATGCGTTCCAATCTGCCCCACCATGAGAAAAAAGGGGGGGGGTGAGGAGTGGGTGATACAATGAACCGAGAGCCATGCATGCAGGCAAGATCAAAGCATGGCACTTACCGCCCAGAGGGTGCCATCTTCAGCAGCGCCAATGTCCCTGACCTGGGTGCTCCCACCAAACTTGTACCAATTATTACATACGATATAGTTGCCCCATCCGTGATGATGGCCTTGGCCAGTGAGCTCCGGTGCCGCACCTCCGTGCAATGTGCAGGTTGGATGTCCACCGCCACTTCCCACATTGACCCATTGATTCTCCCGATCGGAAATTGGCGCCCACTGATCTCCGCCGGCCTGTATTCCAAAGAGAGGCCTCCTATTGGTGGTTCCATCTGGAGGGCAAATTTCCCTGATTGATGCGAGAGATCCGCCTTGTTCCTTGCAAAAGTTTTGGGCAGCAGTCCATCCAACGGCAAGGTTAGCTGTCTCTCTACGCCCATACATGCGTGTGTTTGCCATCAACCAGTCGGTGGTATGATCCAACCTTCGGCCATGTCGATGGACACTGACGGCTTTGGTGTCCGCTTGGTCATTGTCAACTTCTCCAACACCATCTTCTTTGGCGCTGTCTGCATCCACTTGCTTGTCCTTGTCTGTAGATGCCATCAGCTGCATGGCTTCCAATCTGGATCCGACGTCCGTCTTGTTGATGGGTCCATAGACGTGCAAATCTTCTCCTTTGTGTTGGTCGTCTTGTTCTTGTTGGTCGGCCACGGACGGCTCGACGGCTTCCGTGTTGGTTTCGACGTCGACGTGACGGGGGATCTTGGGGTCAGTGTCCTCTTTGGATTGCATGGGGGGAACAGAATAAGAATCCGTTTTGGTATCGTCCATCATGACGATTTGGTCACGCTCCATGGAGTTGGGTGGCATTTTGCGGTCGGTGGTGGTGGAAAGTATGGATGGCGCCTTCTCTGATGCCACCTTGGCGACGTGATCATTCTTGGCGTGCATCATGTTCCAATGCTGGGTTTGATCTTGTTTGGTTCTGTTGAAGGTCTGATCGTCATCGTGGACCTGCGACTCCATGTCTGGATTGATGTCTTTCTTAAGCCCAAGGGTAAGAGTTGCGTCTGGGTTCGTTCCGGTACTAGAGGCAGCAGCCGTAGAGGCCGTGCCAAGCTCTTGTTCATCACTGAGAGTAGCCTTGGCAGCGTCAAGTTCATGTGGGCCTTGGGCTTGGCCTTGGCCTTGTTCAAGATCGGTATCATAGATGGCGTCGGCGTCCGAGTCGGGATCCCTCAAAAGGGTGTCTTCCGATCCATCAGCAAGAGCAACCATGTCTCGGTGATCAGTAGTGGTAGTGGTACCAGTAGTAGTGGCACCAGTAGAACCCGCACCAGTGGGTACAGGAAGGACATCTTGAGCCTTGGTAAGATTCTCGACCGAGAGCGAGAGTCCAAGCAGAAGGCTCAGCAACGTCTTCGCCTTCATCTTCATCTTGATCTTGAGGATTTCTTTTTTCTTTTTCTGGTTTTTTTTGTTGTTTTTTTGTTTTGTTTTTTTATCCTCTCAACTCAATCACGACTTCCTGGAAATCGATCGATACCGTACGATACAGATACACTCTCAGCACCAGCAACGGCAAGATAAACGGCAGCAAGAGCAACAATCAGCTCAGTCAACCTAAGCTCTGTTCAAGGCAGCGGTATCAGTATCGCTTGTTTTCGTCTTCCTTCTCCTGATGATGCTTTACAAGCAGCAAAAGAGTGGGAAATGAGTCAGATTTGCTTGTCTTTGTCTTCCTTCTGCTGTTGATGGTTTACGCGCAACAGCAGTTGAGTGGGAACCGAAGTCAGATTTCAGGCCACAAACCGATGCGACCGGTCGTAGCGGGAGCTTGTGCAGATTTCGAGCTGCGAACGGCTGCTCTTTTGGCAGCCAAAAGATCTCGATCTTTCAATTATGTCACCAATACTCAGTCTAAGTACTGTAAACTAGACCTATCTAAATAGAGAGGATGCAGTATGCAGCATTCTTGGTTACTGGTCGACACTTGACAGCACAAAATGTCCCGTCTCACTGTTCATCCCAGTACGGACTCTACTAGTCGCTACTTGTAATGTGATTAGACTTAGAAATAGACTATTGTGTCTCTAAATCTGTCTAGCCAGTCTCTAGTTCTTTCTCTGGATGGTTATTTGCTTTCTCGATCGTCGGTCCCCCGAAAATTGTTTCGAATGCCAGCACAACGCTGTTGATCCCAGTACAAACTCTACTGTACCGGTACCACTTTCCCCTTCAGATTTGCGAAAATGTCACGAACGCAAAAAGAAGACCTCGGTCCTGCTGGCTTCTCATTACTATCGAATAGATGGGGGAAGGAAATTGATAAGCCCGTCTGTTAAAATACCCAATATACACTTTACGTCGGACATTGAGCCCATCCGAAGATCAAATAGCTAAATTTTTCTACAGTATCTACACTACTGCAACCTACTGTACTATCATCGCTACAGTGCACGGCCTGCTAAAGGCCCATTGCTCGGTACTAGTACTGGTGTGGTTCATTAATTTTCTGCTTGCTACCAAGATGTGTCATTTCTGTTTACTACCAGTACCACCAGTCGTACCAAGATTGTCATGCTCGTCTCCCAAAATACTAAGAGTTGACTATGGTGAGGATGGGTTTCAGAGGAGGAGGGCAGGATGCAAGAGCTGAGCTGAACAACCCAGGGAACAGATCAACCGCACCACCAAAGAAGGAAAGGGTGGCAAAGGTGGCAAGTTGGCAAGGCAGGAGGGCGGAGAGGATCAAAGTGGTCAGTTACGTGTGCATGTGGCTGCATGTACCTATGATACCTCTCTCGAGAGCTACGGTACGGAAAGCTTATCAACCTTACAAGCAAGGCCACTGACCTATCCACAACCATGGTCTCAGATTGGCGAATTAGGATATCTAGCTAGGACTATTTTGCTTATTACCTGCCCTATGTATCTAGATTGTAGCTTCTCCACCAAGTCGTTCACGCACAAGTGTTCAACTTGGCCAAATCCACCCAGTCGCTTGCTCTAGGACTTGTGTGAATACAGGAAAATGGGCACATGCATCGACACAGGAATCACCACCCAAACACTAGGAAATAGCAAGGAGGGATGAATCGAATCCAATAGGAGGATCCACTCTCTGTGGATGCATGTGAGTTGTCGTGTAGCCTCCTGTTGCTTTTCATTGATTCAACGACGTTTGTTCAGGTTGGCGCTAGAGCTCGAGTTCATTTAAAACACTCCTTCATAGCGGTAGCCATCAATCGAAGCCTCTTCGGGTGCGATCGATCGATTCCTTAGCAATCTCACTCTTGACAAGCTGGATCAAGGCAAGCTGGTTCACCGTGTCATTCATGGTTTTCATGGGCAACCAGTGCACATTCAGATGGGCCGCATTGTTCCAAAAGTCCCAATCAATCATGCAGGGGAAATCTTTTCGTGACGAATGATCGGTAAACTCGTTCACATCGTTGAAAAACAATATGACGCTCGATCCCCGCGGCATAAAGGTCGCGGTTGATGCCGACCCACCCACGACACTGACGAAGATTGCCGTTTGTGTCGCGAGAACAACTTGTTCTCTCAGGCTCAGCTTGGCTAGTACGTGGTGCTCCACTGAAAGGGTATTTGCAGGAATCGCTGCCCGTAACGCATGAATCTGATTTTGGAACGAGTGTCGTCGAGCAGGATTCTTGGAGGAATGCGTGGAAAAGACAATTTTGTTGGGCCGTTGCAGTGGCGTTTGCTCGTCAATGCCCATGTTTCGCAGCACAAAGTTGCGAAACGCAAAGAAGAGCGGGCCACGACCAACGTTGTGTACGTCTCGGTAATCCTCAATGCGCTGACCGTGCCGATTCCAGCCATGATCCGTTAGCATCCCAATGCCCGCCACGGCATGTTTGGCACAGACCAAGTTGCTTTGCCGAGGTCCGTGCAATTCGCTTTGTCGCGTACTTCGAAACGTCGTAGAAGCATTGTGGACACCGAGCAGGGGAAGAAACTTGGTCAGCACCCGCCAGCAGGGACTATCCTCTTTTTGTGTACAACCCTCGTCTATATTGATCGGTAGCAAGTTGCTGGCTGGCGACTGATCGAGACCAAACATGGCCAGTAGATTGTAGAATGGCAGAAAGTAATCCCAGAGCAAATGACCAGGATTGTGAATGTTGGGTTGTTCGGCATGAAAGGGAGCCCAAATCGTCCCTTCTGGGAGCTCGTAATGGATGTGCAACGGTTGTTGCACTACCCGAGGAGACCAAGCGCTGTCCCCGCTGAAGCGAATGGTTCGTCCCACCGACACGTCGGCGTTGATTGTCGAGTCCAACAAGTCCGAGTTGTTGTTCTTGTTGTTGTTGTTGTCCGTTTGCGATGATGCCCCCACGTGCAACACAAACTCCCGGCGGTCCATATCCAGACAGAGATGTTCGTAGTGACACGACCGAAACACGTTGGCCCCCTTTTTTTGAAAGTTACCCCCAATGCAATGCACCGACGACGATGTTTGATTCTTCGGTACGACGAGTCGCACGGGTATCCCATTCCACGTGCTGCCATCATCCGTCGTTTGTTGCGGCTCCTCCTCACCCCGTTGTCGCCGTAAGTCTTGTTCGATAATCTTGACGAGCCTGTCGTCCTCGTCCGTCGTGTGCAACGGCAACCAATGAACCCGCAAATGCCCCAAATTGTTCCACACGTCCCAATCGAGTTTAATTGGAAAAGTGGCCTCGTTTTTGTTGTTGGTATCGCGGACCATTTCCTCCCCGCCATTGTTAAAGAACAGAATCAAGGTGGAACCCGGCGGCAAAAAGAATGCCGGCCAGGCACTGTGTCCCATCATGGAGATGTAGATTTGTGTCTGCACTGCCATTTGAATTTGTTTCTTGATGTGCACAATACTACTGGTACTGTTGTTGTGGGTGTAGTGGTATTGCTGAATGCGTAATGTTTGGGAATGATCTGGTATGTCCCGTTTCACTGCATCCACATGATGTTGAAAGGTTTGAATACCCGACTTTTTGGATTCACTGACCATGACACTGATTTGGAGGGGCCCGTTCTTATTCTTGCTGTCATTGTCATGTTGTTGTTGTTGTTGCCGTGTGTCATCATGCAACAATCCCAAGTTTTTCAAAATATGGTTTCGAAAGTTGTAGAGCAGTGGTCCTCTGCCACTGTTTTGCACAAAGACGTAGTCCTTTTTGCGTTCTCCATGTGACTTTTTGTGAATGCCATGGTCTGCAGACAGTAGTAGATATCCAATACATGTAATGAGTTTCTTCCATAGCATGCAAGAATTGACATGTCCACTCTGTCTTGCAAAACGTACGAGCGTACGTCCTTACGTACGTACCTGTGAGAGCCCCCATTCCTGCTGCCCCAAACTTGGCACAAACGAGCTGTTGGTGATTGTAATGATGCTGATTGTCACTACTAAAGTTTCCTGGCATTTTTGTCAGTGTCGTTGTCAAGTTTTGCAGATTAACCCAATGCGCATTCATGAGGGTAAGCATTTGTTTGGTGGTGTGGTAGTAGCAATCCCTCGTGTTACATGACTCTGCATCATAAATATGACTAGTATGACTAGTATGACTAGTATGACTAGTATGACTAGTATGACTAGTATGATGATGATCATCCAGATTGATCAACCATAGTTTCTTGTCTTGTAGATCAAACATGGCGAGTAGATTGTAGAGTGGCAATAAAAAATCCCATAGAATGTTTTTGATGTTTGTGGTAGTATCATGATCGTTGGGAAAGGTGACGGGTACTAGAACCACATTGTCAGGTAATAACAATACAGGTTGTGTCTGGTAGTTTTTATTAATAAGTGGAGCGGATCTGATGTTTGGTATAGGAAACCATCCCTGATCAATTCCCTGCCTTAGCATTCCTTCGGTGGTGGGAGCTGTGGATACCTTGATGTTGTGATTACTATATAGATTGAAATTGCTGGCCCAAGTGACATAGGGTGAAGTCATGTTTTGGAATAGCAATTGTGCTAGATGTTGGTCTTGTGGGGAAGGAAAGAGTAGAAATTGTGGAGTACTGTTGTTTTTATCAAGACTTGGTGGTGGTGGTGGCGTAGTAGTAAAGCAAAGATGTCTGAATTGGCAGGATCTGTACCCCGTTGCTGTTTTGGGTAGAAAATTCTCTCCCACACAGTGGACTTTTGAATATGGTTGGTTGGCACTATTGGCATTGTCATTGGCATCATTATGGATGTTGGTAGAATGGGGATTGGACGTTGGATGATCTTCTACTTCTTGTTGTTGTTCGAATGCATAGTTGTTCCGAAAGCTGGGTCCAATCTGAAGAACCAAAATGACAATCATGGCCATTGTGGCAAGAATGGTTTTGATGGAACAAGCTCCACCATGATGGTGATGGTGATGATGTCTCCTTCTTGCTCTACCAAAGACCATTCTCCTTCATCCTGATTTTAGATTGGTTTGGTCTGGATTGGCTCTGACTTGACTTGACTTGACTTGGCGCACCTCTCCAAGGATCCGATTCGTTGTTTGGCGTCTGTGCTGAAAAAGTGATCCCGCAGCATTTTTGGAAGCAACGGCTTTGTGCTGTATCTTTGTGGTTCGGAACAAGCAAAGTACGTCATTGTTCTGTAGAAAGTGTACTGGCTTCTACGGTCCATCCAAAAGTAAGTGGCTCGCTGAACAGAATTTGAAGTTGGCCAGCCGGCGTTTCTGGACAAACGTAACTGGGAGTAAAAGTGACCAATCAGGTGCGAGAAATCCAGATGGCGAGCAAAAGAAGCAGCAATCATCAAAGACACCAACCGCAACAGCAACAGCAATTACCAGATGGCCAATCAATCGACTTGAATAGAAATGGATAGATCTCATTATTATTTCTTTGATGGCTTCACAACAAACACAACACCACAAACTAAGAACAAGCTAGCTATCTAACTAACAATCACTACACTACTAGCTAGTAGAGACCATGAGGGTCTCTGCTGCCGCCTTGCTGTTCTTGGTGTGTACTTCTACTGAGACAGACAAGCGAAGTGCAGACGCCTTTTTGGGAAACGCGAGGAAGCGATTGGCTCCAGCAAGTACTAGTGTTGGTAGAAGTCCTACCAATCCTACCAAGAGCATTGTGGTCTCGACAGCTTCGACGCTTCAAACGCCCAGTGGCTTTCACACACGCAACGATACTTCTACTTCTAGTAGTAGTAGTAGTAGTAACAAGAAGGAAACCCACAATGGAGTTCATGTGCGTCTCGTCAAGAATCCATTTCATCATTTGCCAGAAGAGGAAGATCAAGATGGTGAAGATCAAGATGAGACTACTACTACCACTACCAGTAGTAGTGTAGACACGGCTGATGTGCTGAGAGAGATTCTAGATGAAGCCGTCGTCTTTTACGCTACCGTTACGTCACTTACGTCATCTGGTACGGAATCTACAGGCACTCAAGACACCTCTCTGCTAGACACTGTACTGCAAGACACTCAGAAACTCATTCAGCATGTCAGCTATGCCATGATCACTACCACCACTGGAAGTACTGATGATGACTCTACTGACACTACTAGCAGCATCAGTGTGGTTCCATCAGTGTCATCCCCATCCCTACTACAAGGCAGCAAGAACACTCCCAAGCAAGACAAGGCACAACAACTCGATCAGGCATTGAACAGGTACATGAGAGCGGTGGAATTGGGACCTGCCTTTGCCTGGTTGGCCAAACAGGAAAAACTCACCATGGAACAATTGGCACAACAGTTCAGAGACATGGATGATAGCAAGCCAACTACAAACAAGTCTTCTTCTAATGATGCACCACAAACACCGGCTGGAGCACTCCATAGTACAGGAGAATTGTTTCTATTGCTCGATATGGAACAACAACTGAAACAACTGCAAAACAAGGAAATGATCACTTCGGTGGAAGCATTCCGGGAACGATTGGACAAACTCAAGGCGAAAGTGCAGCACTTTTCACCAACGCCAACACAAGACAACAATGACACGGCCATGAACGATGACACGGAACCATCTACCGGTACTAGTAGTCAGACGGTGGTGGAGGAAGAACAAACAGTGGGATTTGGACAACGAGTCAAAAATGGTGTCAGGGACTTTTTCTCCAGCAATGGCACCACACAAAAAGACACGCAACAAGAGGACGACACAACTACGTCGAATCAGTCATTGCCAGACCCAGAAGTCTTGCAGGATTTGATGGATCAAGCCAATGATGTACTCGACATGGCAGCGGACAGTGACAGTATCCTCGAATCTGTACAGGAAAAACTGGACGTCTTGAAGGAGGAAATACAGTCGCACCTCGACAATCCTACCGCCATGTTGCAAGAAGAAGAAAACGATGGCCAACCACAGACACGAACCAAACATGTTGTCGCCAAAGAATTGGAAGCCGCCTTGCAGTTGCACATGCAACTCGGCGATTCCACATCCAAGGAACTGGTGGAAGAGTTGGCGGCCGAATACAAAATGGTGCCAGAAGCAGTGGAAGAAGAAGAAACGACGCCACCACCTCAAGAGACAGCGTCGTCGATTTCGCAAGTGGCCAAACTCATTCACTCGTTCCAAGCACGCATTGATGGGTTGGTGGAACAAGTCGAAGAGCTTCTTCAAAAAGAACATATAGCGGCCGCGGCAACCACCAAGCAAGCAACCGATGCTACCACTGTCGTGGACGACGACGATGACATTTTCATTGACGCGGTCATTCTCGAAGAACAAATACGAGCGCGTGATCCTACCATTGACTACGACGAGCCAACATCGTCACAGCGAGAAGAAGTCATTTCCGAAGAAAAGACACAAGCCCAACAATGGGCCAAACAGTATCAACAAGCAAAAGAGGCACGAACCAAAGATCGAGAAAATGCCATTGATGCCGCCATTCTACCCGATACCGCCATTACCAATCTATTCAACATTAATAATATCAATGGATTATGGGGTATGGTTCAAGGGGTGGAGCCGGTTGCAGCAACAGATGAGGTGGTTGAGGCTGCGGAAGACAACGAGCCAGTGATGGAATCACCAGTGGCAAATGATGATGTGTTGCTGGAAGACCTAGCAACGGTCGAAACATCTGAGGAGGAAGAGGAAGATTCTACAGTGATGGAAACGCCAGTGGAGGAGACACCGGTTTTGGAGGAGCAAGATGCTGCTGCTGCCATGGTGGAAGAAATCCAAGACAAGGAGCCAGTGATGGAAGCACCAATGGCAAATGATGATACGTTACTCGAGGAACTATTTGATGTTGATACATCTGAGGAAGAGGACATTGCTGCAGTGTTGAAACCACCGGTTCTTGAAACGCGCTTGGAGGAGGCACCAGTGTTGGAGGCGCAAAATGAAGCTGCCGTTGTGGAAGAAATCAAAGACGAAGAGCCAGTGATGGAAGCACCAGTGGTAGCTGATGATGCGTTACTCGAGACCGAGGAAGAGGACATTGCTGCAGCGTTGGAAACGCCAGTGGAGGAGGCACCGGTTTTGGAGGAGCAAGATGATGCTTCCACGCAGGAAGTAGCAGTTCCGGAAACGGCAGCATTCTTGGATACCCCTGCTGCTGCCGACGAAACGGTGGAGGTGGAAGCTCAAACAGCAGAGGACCCTGTTCTGGAGGATTCGCCGACTCTTGATAATGAAGTGCTCAATCCGTCAGGTGTCGGCAGCGTCGAAGAAGATGTTGCCATTAGCGGATCATCGACGACAGAAGTTGAGGAGGAGTTGATCGACATGAACATGATGGATGATGTCAACAGCTCATTCAGCGCTATGATTGAATCTTCTAGTGCAGCGACCGATGCAGTCACGTTGGTCAAGAATGAAGAAGAAGAGCTGGAATCCGATGCTGCTGCTGTCGTCGAGGAAATGTCTTTGGCAATGGAAACAGCGAACATGCCGGTGGAAGCCGAAACGGCGACATCTACGGACGAGCTGCAAACTGCAATCGATGCACAAGGCACGGATACCCTTGAATCCGAGACGGAGGATGCGAAAACAGCTCCAGATCTCTCTGCTGGTCCTAGAGCGGTAAATGTTGAAGACGCTTTGTCCGAACCGCTCGCCTTCACACCGGAGACCGCAGAGCACACAGCTGATGTATCGATTTCGGATGAGATTCCCGAATCGGTAGAAGACTCCTTGGGTGAGACGGGAGCCTCCGTGTTGGACATCACGGATCAATTGGTGGATGCGCCTGTCGCGAAAGAGGCCTCTGTGGAGGACTCCATGCCCGAAATTATGGAACAACTCGTCGAGGTTGAGTCAGAGTCCCCCGAAGCTTCGGTGGTGGACGCGAGTACTCCCTCCGAAGTGGACCAGTCAGAAATTCTGGGTGCCCCGCATGAGCCAGTAGATACAGATCCCAGCCAGGTGCCAGAGCCGCTGTCCACGGTTTCCAAAATCGATGCAACCGTAGAAAACAATGTTGTTGACGAGGAGGAGCCTATTGAAGAGCCGCTGGCAACCGTTTCGGAAATCGATTCAATCCTAAACAACAATGTTGTTAAAGAAGACGAGGATACAACTGTTGAAGAAACGCCGATATTGGAGGCACCAGCGGCAGCTGCGGCTATGGACTCTTCGGACATCGCCCAAGAAGTGTTGGACGCGTTAAAAGAGGCAGAAACTGCCCTTGATTTTGCCATGGACTCTTCGGACATCGCCCAAGAAGTGTTGGACGCGCTAAAAGAGGCAGAAACTGCCCTTGATTTTGCCAACGGAGTGTCTCCGCCGGTAGACCGCAAGGTTGTCAAAAACCGTCGTCAGAGAGCAATCCACAGAGTAGCCGGTAGGGCGTTTGATGTCACCGTGAAGGGTGCCATGGGAATCGCCAATCGCCTCTCGAGATTTGCCAGATCCAAGGCAAAGCAACCTCGAACAAAAGAGATGTCTCCGAGTGATACCGGTACGCCGTTCTTGACGCAACCAAAGTCATCGAGTTCGGAATCTCCTTTCTTTGCAAGGCGTTCAAAGGGTCAAGATTTGCCTTATTCCGCGAAGGATTTTGGTAAGCCCCTGACGGAAGTGTCAGAATATGATGATGGCAACGACTCAACAACATTACCACCGGCAGGTCCCACCAACAGCTCGCTCGGATTATCTCCACCAAGTTCATCAAGGTTGTACTCGAGCCGAGGTTCCCAGGACATTGATTTGGTTCGAAACCAAACGTCCAACGACACGTTCATTGCCGACGCTTTTGCCGGTGATGATGCTATTGCTGGTCCGAAGCAGGTGGCAGTATCACAAGTCAATGATATTCTCGGGGAACTAACAAGATTGTCGAAGCAGTCGTCATCGTCAGAGGATGCTGCCTTGATCTTGGAGGCTTTGAATGCAGCTGATAGCAAGGAGAGTGCCCTATCAAAGGTGGCTGCAATTCTGGAGGATATCAACACGCGAGCAAAGCAGCCAGCGCCCACCAACGTCGTTGTTACACCTGAAGTGACAGAGAATGGAAGTCAGGAGTTGGTGAGCATCGACGAAGTAGATGACGAACCCATTCTCAGCGTGGAGAACGATGACTTTGAAGAGCTCATCGAAGAGGACGATGATAGCGAACTCTTGCTCAGCGCAGAGGATGACGAAGAGCCCATCGAAGAGGACGATGACAACGAATTCTTGCTGAGCACAGAGGACGACGAGGACGCAGAAGAAGAGCCCTTCGAAGAGGGCGATGACAACGAACTCTTGCTCAGTGCAGAGGACAACGACGAGGAAGACTTGGACGTTGCCGTGCCTTCTGACGAGGACCTCCAAGTTCCCTCGACAGCGACGGCTCCAGATCTAACCTCTGCGTCTACTGATACGATGCAAGATTTGATGCAAGATCAGCTTCTTGGCTCTGTTGCAAACAACACATCGACTTCTCCTGTGGTGAAAGAGAAGATCACCGAAACGGAGACAGTCGCCAAAAAAGTAAAATCTGCCAAGAAACCATTCCCAGGCAAGAAATCGGCCCCCCCAGTTGCCAAAGCAGTTGAGACCGTGAAAAAGCCGTTCCTTGGTGGGTCTGTAGACGTTCAAAAGGAATCTGAAGCAGTCAAGACGGCTCCCGCGGCAGAGGTGGCTGTGCCTTCGGCGGTAGATGACGCTGGCAAGGATACTGCTGCTGCAACCCTTGAGGAAGCGGCCATGTTCGAAGCTCAGGCGCCAACATCGAATGACATTCCAGACAAGGCGCTTGTCTCTACAGGGGCCGACGAAGAGGCCAATTCTGCTGCAACCCTTGAGGAAACGGCCATGTTCGAAGCTCAGGCGCCAACATCGAATGACATTCCAGACGAGGCGGTTGCCTCCACAGGGGCCGACGAAGAGGCCAATTCCAGCCCAGAGGAAGCCCCGCAGCTCGAAGAAACAAAAGGCGATGAGGAAGAAGCCAAGAAGGATGAAATCGTTGTTGCCGAAGCGCCTGCTGAAGCAAATGCCGATGCCACAAGCGAGGAAGAAGCACCAGCCTCTGCGGAAGACGAAGACACAAATGCGCCACCACAACCGATTGGCCCGTTTGTCGCCAAGAAGCCGGGAGCATTTGGTCTGTCACCCGACAACAGCGACAACTATTTTGGCCACAACGAGGATCCTTCCAAGCCCAGTGATCGTTTCAAACGACAAATGCCGACAGCGAATCCCGTTCAAGGCTCTGTGCTTCCCATGGCATCGGACAAGTTTGAAGTTTCTGCGGACAACATGGGTCTGGAGACTCCATCAACGGAGTTAATCGCTTCCAAATCGTCGCAGCAGAAGCCACTGCCCGACGTCAAGTTAAAGGGGTTGACGGCCGACAACATGGGCCCGGAGACTCCACCAACGGAGTTGATCGCTTCCAAATCGTCGCCGCCACAGGCACTGCAACAGAACCCACTGCCCGACGCCAAGTTAAAGGCGTTGACGGCCGACAACATGGGCCCGTCTGCTCCCCTGGATGATATCTACCGGAAGCAAGAACAAGCCATCCCCAGCGAACGGTTCAAGAAACCTCCCGCCACGCCCGGTGCGGATAGCAAGCTGTCGATGGATGCGTTTGCGCTGATGGGAGACAACAAGGGTTTGGCATCACCTCTGGAGGAGATTTACAAGAGCAAAAAGCTGACGGACGATAGCAGCGACCTGCAGAGACCGAGTGACCGCTACAAAAAGCCGGATAGTCCCATGACTGCTGCCCCCGACACGTCGTTTAAACTGATTCAGCCGCTGACAGGCGACAGCCAAGACATTGTCTCTCCCTTGGAGGACATTTACAGTCACAGGAAGCAGATCCACGAGTTCAAGGGTGCCAAGACAACAGCCAAGGCAGGTCCCTTTACTACCGCCAAAGCCGTTCCCAAGCCTGCGGTCAAGCCCGGTCCCAAGACTTCGGCCAAAGCAGTTCCTCTGATGTCACCCGACACGAGTCGTGTCCAACGAGCCTTTCCACGAGCACAACCGCAGAAGAAGGCGACGATGAATGACTTGCCTGCTGCACCATTGCCCACCCAGAAGAACGTGCAATTGCCAAAGCGACCAAGGAGGCTGAGAAGGAGGATGACAATGAGACGACGAGGATGACAAGGACCAAACTCCCAAGCCTGGCCGCAGAGACATGAACAAGCCCATTTCGTTCTTTGACATGCAAAAGGCTTGGAAAGACAGTACCAATTCTAAAGCGTTTTCGCTGCTGGGTCCAAAAAAGTCTGTGGCTTTGTTCCAGAAGAAGAAGAAGCCCCTGGTGGTGGATGCCTTGGTGGATCCAACAGTGGGAAAGCAAGAGACGAGGAATCCTCTGAAAGGTTTGCTTTCCAGGGTAACATCCAAGCTCGACCTCCTTCGACGACGGAAAAAGGCGCCACCACTGTCGTTTGAAGGTGGCAATGGCGACGACCACGATTGGAAGAAACAAATCATGGCCACCAGTACGACATTGTACTCGACGCAGCTGTCGTTACCGAGTACCGGTAGGCACGACGAAGTTGTCGAATCGAGGCGGATACTGTTGCAGTTTGCCGTGTCGGCACTATTGTATCCCATTCTGTTACGATGGGTACGGTCGAGTATCGTGCTGACAGCGGTTGTCCTTCCACATTGCTGGTTGTTATCAAGAAGAAGGGATCATCGGTAATGGATGGAAGGGTGATGCGCTGTGGCGTTTTGTGTGTATGTTGTACATGTTGGTGTGTGTCCATGTCATTTTTGCATATATTATTTCTATACAGCTACATGTCATGTCATGTCATCAAGTGGTACCGGTACCAAACGAAACAACGAATCTGTCTATCCAACCGATCTTGAATGAAAAGAAAAAAGAGTAGAGACGGTTGGTTGGTGGGTGGCAGTTGTTGGTTGCGGGTGCTTTGAGCTTCTTTCGTGTGAACGTCTAGTAGGTAGCTACTAGTAGTCTAGCTAGCTAGGGTTGAAGAAAAAGAAAGACAGGAAGAAGCAAGAAGACATGAATGGAGCAAAGATTAACTACTTACTTGCACAAAAGCTTTTACATGCTAAACTTAGTTAACTTGAGAAAGAATAAGAAGAGAGCTGCTTTCATGAACCTTTAGAAACTCGATCTGTTAGTGATCGCAGCATGCACAAGTGGGGACCAAGCCGGCTAGCTAGCTAGTAGGTAGTTTCAGCGTGCCTGCCAGCATGAGCTTGTCGGCACGAGGGTATCCTTGAAGAAAGCAAGAACGAAGCATAGCTGAAAGAAAAGGCGAGAGAGCAAATAAATGAGCAAATCCACCAGCAATAGTCTACATGTAGCTGTCTCGGAAAGATCTTTGTCCACAGCACCGACCAAATAGTTGAAGCAACAGGCGCCATGAGGAGGGATCATATCAATAATATTTTGGGTGGTCCGGTCTCATTTTTTGGGGAGCCAGAGTTGAAGTAGGAGTACGTCAGCAGTACGTCACTAGCAAAATAAGTCGCAAATTGGTCATTTATTTGTCTGTAAAAATGATGTTCACAGTGGACACCGCGGTGCACTTTCCTAATTGTGTGTGAAAACCTCCTCGGCTCGAAACTCGAAACAGAAGGCTTTGAAACGTGGCTTGTGCGTGGAACGAACGGAATAGAAGATTGGAGTTCCAAGAGGTGTGTGTCATTCCAAGAAAAGCGAAGTGAATTCACAAGAGCAAAGAGCAAGAGCACCAAGCAACTCACCTAATAGACTCATAATAAGAGACAACCAACGGCCACAACAACAACAACGACATGTTCAGCACCAACGATATCAACAACGGCAACAGCAACACTACTAGCACTACTACTACCAGTCCCATGAATTCCCTGTTCAGTTTCGACAAGCGCAATTGCAACCGACGCAGTCGTGCCGCTGGTACTGATTCTACGTACCGATACAACACTGACACTATTGAAGAAGATGACACTAGCGTTTGCAGCAGCGTGTCTGCTTTGACGGACGACGAACAAGACGACCATGGCGCTCTTACTGCTAGTAGGCCTGCACCAGCTATTCTTGCTCCTACTTCTATTGCTACGACTCCAACTGTCAACGCCAACCGGAAGAAAAAGAGTCGATTCGCCATTACGAAGGCTAGGGTTAATGCTACGACTCAGTCCAGTCCCGCATCTGACGCCGTCTCCATCTCCTTTCTACATGTAGCCAAGCAACCCGCCCCGGGCACTACACCATTGGGCACAACACCATCATCAATAGGCAGACCAACGCAAGTGATACAAAAAGCACTGGCGGGACTACGACCGGGAGGTGTCTTTTTCGTATTGGACTACAAGGACGAAGCGAACCAGCCCTGTCCGTCCTTGGCCATGAAGGAGATCCCGCAAGACCTAGTCGAGAAATGGAGCCTGACCATGGTTCCCACCAACCTGGAAACGTTCTACAATACCAAACTCAAGCTACCGTCTTCCAAACCAGCAGCACCACGAACGTCCTCTTTACCAGCTTCTAAGCGAATCGTACGATGGATGGGAATCAAACCACGTCAACAGGTTTCTCCGGCCGCAAACTAATAAATGAAAACAAAGAGATTGGAGGTGCATTGCCAATGCCTTGCTTGCTTTGCTTGCCTTGCTTGCTTGCTCGCTCCTTTGCTCTGACCTGACGTTACATGGAACAGACTTAGCTTTGCTTGCCTGCTTGCTTGCTTTCCTCTTTTTCTCGCACTCTCAAACGCTCATAAGCAAAATCTACCAAGACCTTCCGCAATCAACATCCACTCTTCGTCCTTGCTCTCTTCCTAGAATCCTGATTACTGTTGCCGCTCTTTCCCTCTTTCCTCCGAAGTCTCCATAATGCAAGGCATTGCGCTTTTCGGTTTCAAACAAAGCAACCACCC